AGAGGCCGAAACTTTCGAAACTGGATCAAACAACGCGAGGAAAACCCGCCCAGGCGGAACACCAACATATTCACATGGAGTAGGATCGTTTCATCTGGAGGGAAGGAGATTTTCATGTGACGGTTGCATGACGCACGACAGTCTTCAACGAGTACACCCCCGCTCAATGTCGATACAATGCTCTCGAGAATGAATGGGACCTGTTTGAGGAATTTGCACTGGAAGTCAAGTCGAAGAATGGTCAGGATTATGCGGGCTATGAGCATTCAGACAGTGAGGATGATGGCTTTGATCCTTTTGAAGGCTATGAGCACCTTTATGTCAGTGAAGACCAGAACGTCTCACCAACCTCTCCAGACGGAATCCCCCCCTCTGGTGCCTCTCCTGGTGCCTCCCCCACCTCTCCTGAACCTGATGAAGTAGCAGTACCCATGGATGCTGAAACCAACCTCCTGGTTTCCCTCCGCCTTATGTACGGATTCAACCCATCCCCTACTGCTCAAACACCCCACCCTCAAGCACCCAACCTCCGGAGTTGGTCAGATGTCCTGGGTGTCATCGGGACAAAATCAGAACCTGATGTCTCAGACCGAGACAAGGTTCTAATTCGCGAGTTCATTTCATGCCTCATCGACAGCTCTTCGGGATTGCCAGCACCCTCCGACGACCTCAACGCAACATCGGATCAGCCTTTGGCAACATCCTTTGCGCTCGACACTGTGGAACGCATCAGTGAGGACCTATACGTGTTCAAGCTACCTCCTTCCCCCTCTTGCAAATGGGTCATCGGTGTTGATCGCCCCACGACTGTTCTTTACATCTGTCGACTGGTCGCCTCCGCTCCGAACACGCATACGGTGCTGACAATCGCCTACCACCTACTTGAGCACCACATACCCTTCCGCACCCTCCTTCTGCAGGCCTCCTCGGAGCCCGAACAGCTCAATCTCCCATACGCAGACAACGCCAACCGTTTTAACAAGCACCAATTCACGACAGCAGACTTCAACAGTGCTATGCTCGAGTGCCGCGCGCTGCTGGGCCGCCCGCAAGGGCGAGCTGCAATACTTCGCGGTGGCATTGTAGGGAGGATTGCAAGGGAATTCGGTAGTAAGGAGTCTGGGTTGCAAGGACCGTCCATCGAGGTCACAGTGCATCATTCGGGGTACTTTGTCCCGTCTAAACACGACGGGTATTTCTACTGGGATGACGACCTCACTGGTGAGGAGATTGCATGTTTGTGTGGGACATACTGCCTCTATACAGGTAAGGTCTGTCTTCCGTGAGTGTCTTCAATAGTGAATTGATTCCTCATATACAGGGCGTGGCGAGCAGACAACAACGGTCTCGTGGTTCCCTCCTCCGGACGTTTGGGACAAGCAGGGTTATGGCTGGCCAGGATGGACGGAAACTAACGAGGAGTTTTTCCAGCAGTGGATAGCAGACATTCGCAAGGGCAATGCCAAACCCCTGTCGCGTCAAAACTGGTGGCGCAAGGTTCGTAGCATCAAGAACACGAGGTCGATGCTTAAGAACAACAGGGAACGGGCAAAGGCATACGTCGAGTTGAACATTCATGCTATGTAGCTTTCATCTTGATTTCTTGGACACTGACATGTATTTTTTTTTGGTGCATACACAATAATGACAAGGGTTTTTTTTCCAGTTACATTGTAAGGACTATGCTACACGCTGTGATTACAGGAGGTACCTATGACCTGGTTGTAGCGGTGGCGGCGTTGATTTGACTCGAGTGAACCTATTTCACGGCAGACACCCTTCTATGAGGAGGACACGTGATCGCGTCAAAGGTAACTCTCATGATATTCAAAATTTCTTCATATAAAGCATGTGCCGGCGACATAAGTACCAAATAGATTATGTGATTCGAGCCCTTACATGGTCACTATATGTGAATTGTCTGACTAGTGGATGAGACGAGACCCACAGGATAGACCTACTACTACATGGCTGCAACATCTAAACGCCTGCTAACTAGCTGAGCCAACATCAAATATTTTAGCCATGAAGGAGCTGGTTTGGTATCTGGCAGATGGGTGGAACAAGATGCCCAGGATAGTCCAGCTGCTTCATGGATATTACATGTTGACATGTGCCAGCCAGCTGAGTTAACATTAAATATTTCAGCTGCGATGGAGCTGTTTCCTGATCTGACAGGTGGATGGGATAAGATCTTCGGCATGCTCTTCCTACTACATAGTTGTCATGTCTGAACATGTGCCAACCAGCTAACCTAACATCAAACCTTTCAGCTGCTATATAGCTGACTCCGTATCTAACCCATGTGCGTCGACGTATGCGTCCAATGAAATTAGAAAACGTGACTACGAGATATCATACATTTGGCAGTGTAGCTCTAAGAGATCAGCCGCAGCACGTATGACTAGGATCGCGAGGCCGCGAACGTCCCGCTGGAGCTCTTTGTATTGGTTGTCAACCATTTCAGGCTGTTCGAAGACGGGGTCTATGTGCTGTTCGCCGTATGCCTTCATCCGATGGCTGCGTCGGATTTGCAGAGATTTTGGCCTGGAAGCATCCTGATATTTGACGAAGGCTGCGTGGACCCTATCATAACTTATCAGCACGACTGCCTGTCAATTCTTATTCGTGGACTTACTCTCGATATCGAACAATCAATCCCATATTATCTTTCTGCGAATTCAGGACCTTATGATGGACATTTAGGGCATCCCTGATCTGGCTCAGCACCACCTGAAGGTCCAGACCATTGTATTCTGGAGTTGCTTCTGTAGCAGCGACGCAAAGCTGATTTAGATTCTCGATAATGCCCTCTAGTTGCAGCTGCGGGCTACAGAGAGTGCCTGGTGTCCGGACATCAAGGGAAGCCATAAATGTGTTGAACGGGAAGCGCAGGGCCGGAGAATGTTTCTGCCCTTCGTGACCTTCTAGCGCAATACTTATATAGGTTCAAAGCACTGTGGCCCGATGCACGCGTGTGGCAGCGAATAAGCGCGAAGTGTGGCACAGAAAAGAGTTCCCGATTTAGACAAAAAGATTGGTTGTCGCTGACTGCGGTCTACCCGTACTTACATACGATAGGTAATCCTTCTGATGTGGTGACTCGAAGGTAGACTGCACAACGGTTCACTATTAGTAGGAACATCGAGGGCAGCACTATCAAGCGTAGCACGTAAGGAATCATGCAGAAAAGTCAGAGTAATGAACTACGGTATCGGAGGCATCTCAGGCACGGCGCATACAGCCTGAACCTTCTGAATATCTTCGTCTGAATCCCGTCATGTACGGAGGCTGCCAATGTTGCTTAGTGCCAAAGACGACGCCAAGGCCCTACTTACGCGAACGGTGATTGCCGAAGCAAGAAAACTACATCAACTCAGAACTGTGGCTCAATCGCTCTTTCACAACCACCATGCTCTGCAATCCTCTCCCACTCACCCTTCCTCTCGATATCTGGGGTGAAATTGTGCAACATGTCTACTTCGAGGGAGACATGGACACCCTTCGTTCCCTTTCACTATGCTGTCGCGCTCTCCTGCCGTTTTGCCAGCGCGAACTATTCTACTCCGTGTTGATCCCCGAACGCGTTCCCGAGCATGCCACAGAAAGAGATGCTCGAATCCAAGAACTACACCAAATTCTCTCTCAGTCACCCCATATCTCCAACTACGTTCGGATTTTTACGTTCTTCATTGCTTTGGCCGATGTGAATAACCCGATCATTCGCGAGATTGTGGCACGGTTTACTCGAATACGATTCCTCGAGCTGGACCACCGGGACACAACTACTAACCGGCTTTTGGATTGGGACCTTTTCGACGAGGGTTTCAAAGGAGCTTTCAAGGACATCATACAACTCCCCCATCTCGAATCTCTCGACTTGGCTACGTTCACGAATGTACCGACATCGACCTTTCTTGATTTGTCACAGGAACTAGAAATTATAAACCTCAATGAGGTTGAGCTGAAGGACGATTTGAAGTCACCGACTCCTGGTTTGCTCCGCGCCAGTAGATCAGGAAGAATACCTCAGCCTTCGTTGATTACCGCGATGAATGGGTGCGGAGACATAATCTCTTTGCTCCTGAACGCCACCCCCCAGCTCGTCGATTTCACGAAGTTGGATTATATTGGGATTGGTTGGGACAAAGAGAACATCGTCGCCGTGGTATCTCGGATGCTCAAGGCAGCTCCTGCGCTTGAGTTCTTATCTTGCCGAGGTTCGCATACTTTCAATCATCTTCTTGGGACGGCTAGAGACTCACGTTCCGCGCATCATAAGGGACCAATGGAACAACAATTCCGTTTCGCGGGCTCGCAAACGCGATCTCCGCAGCCAATCTCAAATCGTTGGAACAACTAGAAGTCATGCCGGCCCTGACAGTCCTCAATACTGGACCTTCGGACGACCTCCTTTGGGGTTTACGCGATGAAGTCGCGCTTCTCGCCACGAAGTCCAAGCTCAAGAAATTCAACATCCGATTCGAACTCTATGGAAGCCACTTCGGTCTTCCAACCAAGCTAGGCGAACTTGACAGTCTGTTCGAGACTAAAAATTTCTTCCCCACTCTACGAAAGCTCAGCATACAGATTTTAGTGCTTGTTGAGGACACAAGGACCGTACACGAGAGGCACACCTTGCGAACCGAGCTGGAACAAGGGTGCTATGATGAATGTCGCAGAATCCAACGAACGCCTGGTCTAGTGTTCGATTGTGACGTTTCTGTGGAAACGGTGCATCTCGGATGATAAATAGAGTTATGTGTACGAGTAGTCCTAGAGGATGGTATACAAAGGTATCTACAAGATTTTCAGTCGACGTCGATGGCCAAAGAGAATCTGTTTCTAGGTCACAGGCTGTCCGTGATTGATCGACAGCATCATATGGAATCATTGTGTCGACTCCTGGAAGAGTCTTCTGTGAACAAAGTCTCGTAATTCACTGCAGAATGATCTTGATCGAAACCTAGCATAGTCCTCAACTGGTCCTCAATGAGCGGCTACTGTCCTAATGAACCCCTGAGAGGCTGTGCAAATCGGGCGGAAGCACGGGCCGATTCTCTGTCTCTGCACGTGGCATTTTCGTTGGATAAGGACTCTTTCCTCTATTTCCTACTAGTAAATGAACTTTCTGCGCGACAAACTCAATTTACACACTCTCTATCCAAAATTTTACTTCATGTGAAATTTTGGACGCCCAACCATCCCAACATGTCGCTACACAGCATCGATCCGACAGCGACGATACTGGGTTGTGGTTCTAATTGTGGGCCTCCCGTATCGGTCTATCTGTCATGCACTGTTTGACTACAGCACGAACAGCATCCATCGATTCCTTCACAGTCATTCCCTCTGTCTGCCACGTCTCCGTCTCCTCCCTGAATGGCGTCTAAGGGATTCATGGGAAAAGGAAAGAAGAAGAGAGAGAAGGGCACAGATTGGTTCGAGGCTGGAGTTCAGGGTGGCACCATTCTACTCGCGCTGGTGAAGGAGGCGGCCGAGTTCGCCCCAGTCCCCTACCTGAAGATTGCGGCAGGCACGACGTTGAAGATCGTGACTACAGTCCAGGTCCGTATTACGAGCCTCTTGCTCTTCGACGTTGGGCTGATCGATCGAGCAAAGGCCGTCAAGGACAACAAAGCCGACTACCAGCGCCTCGCGCAGGATGCTACAGAGATCATCGCAGTCGTATGGCGATCGTACCAGAAGGCGGGCGACCCCACCTGGCCGCAGGACAAGGCTGAGATGGTTACAGACCTCGTAACGTGAGCCTCATGTTTTCTGCCGCTCCTGGCGTCTATCTGAATACTACAACCATTTAGGACTCTCCATATGATACTAGGCCACGTCGAGGACCAAATAAAAAGAAGTCGAACCATGCGTGTTATCTATAGCGTCGCAGATACTGTTAAGATCAAGGAGTATCGCGAACGACTGCAAGCTGCCGTCTCCAAGTTCGAAGTAAGTATTCTGTTCTTTGTAGTTTGCCTGCTTATCCTGATATAGAGGGATCTGAAGGTGTCATCTCACCTCACGATTCAAGACGTCCTCTTCCAGCTACTGAAGGGCCAACAGGATATCACAGCTCGGCTCGACAACCATGGCCAACCAATGCCGCTTGTCGTTCAAGTCCACTTGGACGAAGAGAAGGCAAAGGAGGAGGCTGAGGAGGCGGAAGAGAGGAAACGGATCGCTGAGATGGAGAAGGTCAAGGCGGAGAAGGATGCCGCCCTGAAGGAGAAGCTGGAGATGGACGAGCTTCGCAAGGACATGGATCGGCAGCGCATGGAGCAAGAGAAGATAGCCGCACAACTCAAGCGTTGGAAGGAACAGCAGGAAGAAGAGGCTGAGCTGGCGCGTCTGAAGGAGGCGCAGAGACTGCGGGAAGAAAAGCGCCTCAAAGCGGAAGACGAGCGCCGAGCGAAGCTAGCGAAGGCGCTCGAGGAGGAGCGTGAAGAGGAAGCCAAGCGGGTAGAGGCTGAGCGTCAGAAAGCTAGGGCCGAGGAGAAGGAGACACGTCGTCTTGAGAAGGAAGCTGCTCTGAAGAAGAAGATCGAGAGCCACAGAACGAAGGAAAGCGAAACCCTCTCCGCAAAATCCAAATCATCCAAGGCTCCCGTTATCGAGGTTTCGAGCGACGAGGAAGAGAGCCTCGACGAAGATGACGAAGGCGACGATGAGCATTGGGAAGACGACACGGAGTCGGAGACAGAGTCCTCGGAAGACGAAGCCGCACGCGAAGCACGTCTCGAGGAGGAACGCAAAGCTCGCAAAGCAGCGAAGAAGAAAAGCAACAGCGCGCCGTTGCCGACGAGCCCAGAAGCTGCGATGCACAACGCGTTTGCACAGATGGGTTTCGACCCCAGCGCTAGTGGACACCAGTCACCTCCTCTCGGGTCCCCGTATCCAGGATATCCTCCGTACGGTGGACATTCACCGTATTATGGATCTCCGGGGATGCTGTCTCCTCCTATGCTCTCGACTAATAATAGTGGGAATGTAACAAACATGAGCATGTCGAACATGGGGAACGACAATAGCATTCGGTATTACGGATCGAAGCGTGAGTGCCATGAATCATTTGAACCCAGACTGCTCGTACCGTTCTGATTTTCAATGGATGCTGTGCTATAGATTCAAAGAAGGGGACAAGAGCGCGTTCAAGGTAGCTGTCTTGATGGACACATGACGAGCGCAGATGCTCCAGCTGCATACATTGGAATACCACGATCTATTATGTTGGTCTATGTCGAACAGGGTGGAGCTACACTCATAATTCTTTTACACCGCCAGACGGATCTATGAATATATTCTTGTTTCACGCGTCTTCTTCGTGCTATTACCATTTCTCGATGACCACTTTTTCTAGCTCAATTTTGGAGTCGGAGAGTCTACCCTGGCATGATGGCGAACGGGAGGGAGGAACGATGAAGAACGGTTAGATCCCTTCCCAGCAAGCAGACTTAGTCTCGGGAAGAAATTTATTCGCCTGTCGAGAGAGGTCTTAAGTCGTCTGCGTCATGGCTAAGCATTGAAGTACGTGGATGCCAAACCTATAGAATTGATGAGGGGATATCCGAACAGCAGCTGCTTACCAAACGTAGTAAATCACTTTCAGATTGTGGCGCTTTGTCGTTTGTGCCACAATTCTCAGCTCCCACGGTCGGCCCATAAAGTGGCTTCAATTGGTGGCCCGGTGGCTCAGCGTGTTTATAAGAAGATGAAATCCCCAAGAACTCCCCCAAGCACTCCCCCATTACAGCTCCAGCTCAAGGCGCGTTATAGTCGTCGTCTGCTCGGCAAGATGGATCTCCAACGCACCGACCAGGCCGACCTTGAGGGGATAATCACAAATCTCAACCACCTCTGCTTCGCCGTTGATCTTTCAAAGCCGGGCGACAGTGGTGAAGTTTTACGAGTAGTCCTGGACCGCGTCAGGGATATCCTGAAGGCGCATGGCGCCCTTCTCGAGGATGTTGCGGCCATCAAGGAGCGGTACAAGATGTGAGTGTTCCTTAAAAGTTTCCGAGTTTAGTAGCTCATATTATGCAATAGAGTAGAGTCATACCTTGGTATCTACCAAGCCATCTCTGAAGTAGACCTGGGCCGGCGCTGCCCACAAAGTAAAGATCACCTTGATGAAGACTCGGACGTGGACATGGACGTCGACTCAGACTCTGAGTGCGAAGACTCCGATAGCGACGACTCCGATAGCGAGGAAAGCGAATTAGTTGATCTCAAGTACCAGAAGATCCAGCGCGACGTCCGTGGGCTCGCTTTGTACGGGATACTCTCCGCTGCTCGTCAGCTGGAGCGCATGGGCGCCGATTCGGTCTTCGTGCGCAAGAAGAACGTCGAATCCGACAAATAGCTGCAGTCTTTAAACCTTGCCCATCACATAATCCTATGTAGCCTAACATAAACCCGGCTCCTCTATGTGCCCATTAATGTTGTACAATCTATGCTGTACCCGTAGCCTTTCCGTTTGTACGCGAAGTGTAATTCTATAATATCACGATATCCTCTCGTATTCTCGCAGGCAGATAAGAAAGCATCGTTCGGGACCCCTGATTAGCTGAATGCTACGGCTCGCCCGGCTCACTCCCATCTCCCATGGACACATCCGACTCCTCAGAATACGTCGCGTCAGACGCATGCTCGTACGTCGGCATCACGAACGCGGGCAGGTCGAGGCTTGTTCCTTCAGCTTCAGCAGGAAGGTTGGGGCCGTCTTTTGGAGAACCGGATGAGGAGATGAAGAATTTGGGCCCGTAGTTGATGAAGAGCTCGTCGCCTTTCTCGAGGCGGGTTGCTGTTGGAGGGCAGTTGGGATCAGCGGTGAGGGGGGGAAACGAGAAGAGGGTAGGTGTGTAGCTGGGGGTCGACGTACCGGCGTAGATCCCCACTCGGTGTTCGCCGTTGACCAAGCAGACTTCAATGCAAGACCGACATGAGTTTAAATGATCAACACTCCCCGAAGATTAAGAACTCACCTGTCGTCCCGCAATTTGCGTTCGGGCTGTGGTTGATGTACCGCGTCGCATTACCCGCGTTGGCTCCGTCAACCGAGAACGTAGGGTTGAGCTTGAAGACATAGGAGCGTCCGCGGTGATTCGTATGTGCACTGTACGAAGGTCGATAATTAAGGGTATAGAATGATGAAAGGGAGGTACTTACTTCCTCGAGTCGAATGTTGGTTCGCAGATAAGCTCTCCGACGTACTCTAGAAATGGCCAGATTATGAGGGCTCGTGTGATGAGAGAAGAGAGACAGGAGAAGAGGTACCTGCGATAAGGTCACCTTCGTCGCATGACTCGAGCATGAAGAGACCTAAGCCCCATTTACTCTCGCGAACTTCGGTTCTCTGGATAAAACGCACAGATCAATTATACTATTTATAAAGGACAGGAAGAGAGATCGCGCACCTTGGAATAACCCCGCTGGATGCTGACGTTCTTGCACATCGACAAATTCTCGTCTAGAAGGTGACGTCTGAGCTCCTTCTCTCGATATACTGATTCTTGAGTTGACTCACCTCTGATTGATGATGAAATGGGATTGGCAAACGAACGTCAGAATGAAGAACCCTAGGAATCAGGTGAAAAGCGCGCACCGTGCTCCACAAGGTAAGCAAACTTCCGGATCGCATTCGATGTTGGCCATATAGCATGAACACTTGTTCGTCCCGCAGAGTTTTCCTGAACGCGATTTGGCGCAGGAGCAGCCTTTCCATCTCCTCGGACCTGAGCAAGATCAGATGTTCAATAGGCGTTATTTAATTGGTCCAAAACAGGAGGAGAGAGACGAGAAGAATATACAATACGCACAGCTTTTGAAACATCCACACCGTGTATGACAATGCGCCTTGTTTTTCGCGCACGCGCAGCCTGAGCGGGTGTCGCACGGGCCGTCGTGTCTACATGGTAGATTCCTACAAACACCGTATGAGTTGGTCATGCTCGCCCCAGGAAAGAGGACACGAACGGAGTGTATTCGCTTGAAAGCTCGTCTGTCGAGTTCAAATATTTCTTGGGACTATGACTGACGAAAAGCGGAAAGGAAGCGTACTGTACGTCTTGCCGTTCTTTGTAGCGGCACCTGCAGTAGCACTCCGAGAACGGTACTTCGCTCGCTGTTTGTGGATCTACATATGGAGATGGAATCATCGTGAAGTGAGACAAAATGGATGGCATAGTGGGTGAACGAACCTCTCGACAAGGCTTCCTGCACATTGCGGCAAGATCGCACGACGAGCTGTCAGGTGCGTAGTCGAGGAAAGAGAAGAGGAATTCGGTGTCTGCTCGTTGCCAAAACGTGCCCTGCAGAGCAGTGAGCATGAGTCGAATGAAGAGAAGGAGGAGAGAGGCAAAGGAGACAGACGACGGAGTTCTCGGCCGAGATGGGTTGCATAAAGCAGTCGCGTCCACATGGCTCTTGTACGATATCTGCGAGTTTGGAGTAGGGTATTCTGGGCGGGACGGCGCTTGGTGGTTGGGTTTCGACTGTCAATGTGTTAATACCGGGTAGAGATGGAGTTGAACTCAGGTTGAAACTTACGATGTGTCGTACAGAACCCTGTGACGCAGTTCAGGTTACTACAGAAAGTCGATAGAAAGTAATTTGTGATCTCCTTCGGCCCTTGTGTCGTGGAGATGGGAGATTTAGGGAGCGGTGCGAGGTCCTTCGGGTCACGCCATCTAGGAAAATCGCTGCGGAAGAAATTCGGTGAGAAGCAATCCTGGAGGAATAAGGCGTGAACAAACCGTTTTCGATGAAACTTGCGGATCTCCTCCGTTGAGAAAGGGAGAAATTCGGTCTCGTCGATATCTTCGTACGAGATTCTGTGATCCACGACCAGTCGGCGCGTCGTTTCGTACGCGATGACCTCAGCTGTGGAACACATGAGCGCTTCAGTTCAAGGAGGTAAAGCGAAAGTCACCTTACTATCAGGATCCGAATTGGGCGCGGGCCACGCGAAGTACTTGTGTTCGCCAACATCATACGTATAGTCATATGAAGGATCGTCAGAGAAGGGCATGAATGGCAGGTAGTCGGGGTCGTCGCCGACCATAATGTTTCGCGAGATGGGGGTGCAAGATTCGTAGGGCGGATACGGGCGTAGGACCTTGTCAACGGTTATAGGCCGTGAAGACACTTCCCAAGTCTCTTTAGCTGATCCAGAGGCCTCGAAGTCGGTGATTGTGAAGGCTTCGAGGTCGTCAGAGATTTCAGACGGCTGAGGGGGTGACTCTGCAGGTAGCTCCTGTGGCAATGGTGGAGGACGCGTGTATGGGGACCTAGTGGGATTTCTGAGAGTTCCTTCCGAGTTCCGGAGGGACCAGATGTGGTATTCATCCCAGGCGTCGCGATAGACACGAGAAACAAGAGTGATTAGGTCTGAATCGTCCGAATTGACCTCTGGAGTTGGTACTGAAGTAGAAGAGGTTGAAGCCATGAAGAAATATGCGTTATTAGAGGGGGATAAGAAAGCGTCAAGATGATGTGCCGCCTGGAAGACAATCAAGTCGCAAGAACGCGAGGACAAGACGCGTTCGAGCAGGAAAAGAACAAAAACGGATCTCAGTTGCACAGCTTCGGTCTTCGCGTCACGGGCCGGGATAGCCCACATGTCACGTGATAATCAACGAACCGAAATCAGCGGACTTTACAGATTCCTCCACTTTCTCTCCTCTTCCACTTCGTCTTGCTTTCCCGACTAGCATTTACGCACCTACATACGGCGCTGAATACCTGAAAATACACCGCAAATATGCAATCTGCTCGAACAGATCTTGCTCCTCCCAGAGACGACCCATTTACGACTGAGGAACTAAAACAATTCGACGGGAAGGATCCTTCGAAGCCCATTCTCGTTGCGATTAAGGGTGGGTACTAACCTCCGATTCTTGCCCGACTTAATCTGGGCTTTAACTTGTTCTATTCCTGCTACAGGCACCGTGTTCGATGTTTCGCACAAGGCTGACGTCTATGGACCCGGCCGCTCGTACAGCATCTTCGCCGGGAGGGATGGTTCGCGGGGGTTGGGCATGTCGAGCTTGAAGCCAGAGGATGCCGTAGCGGATTACAGCACACTAGATGAGAAGGACATGAAAGTTTTGGACGACTGGCACTCGTTCTTCAGGTGCGCTTCGTTCATGTCGCAGACGCCATCCTGGGGCTGATCGTTTCTGGTATCTAGCAAGCGATACAACATCGTCGGGAAGGTTACGGACGGACCCGTCATTAACAAGTAGAGGTACTCGCTGCCTTCTGTCGCCGTGTTCTGAAGAATACGACGGCGCAAAGAAAGTTGAGCGAAAGTTCAAAGACGAAGAAAGGAAAGACGTGTACAATCAGATGTAACTATTCGTTTTTATCGATATATACTATTGGTATTCTCTGTTTATGTTTGACGCGCTCCTCGTGGCTTCGAAGAAAGAGTAAAATGAGCGGCCAATCTTTGCCCTTCACAAGTCAGAAGTTGCAAGTGAAAGTTATGTGTTTGATGCACAGGCCTCACTACGCAGGGTATATGGGAGAAGAGAAGAGACAGGTGGAATCTAAAGATGTGCAGGGTGGCTCGATGGCTGGTGTTCGTCTCGACCTTGGTTGAAGGGTACACATCGGTGAGCACTATTTACTATTTACTCTACAGTATTCGTAACACTTTAGCAGGCGAAAAGACTGAAGAAGTGACCGGCCGTTGTATAGAATGTGTGCGGCTGGAGAAGCTAGCTCCGCCACGCACTAGGCACGTTAATCTTTCTGCGTGGAGATATCGAGCTTCATAACCCCTGCCCTTCAACGTACGCTTTTCTCGGCATATGGAACAGGTTCAAGTTTCGCCTGGATAGCTTCAGCCAGACTTTCAACATCGAGATAACACCTTCGTAGCGAAGCAAAGATGGGCCGCTCTCACTGCAGCAATCACCACCGAAACACGTTGTGCGCCCTACGCCCACCCTATTTCGGGATATTTCTCTATTTTTATCCTGTCAGCGTGTTTCGAAGAACAAATCCCATCATGTGCCCCTCCCCATACCCTTCCTCCGGAGTTCAGCCGCGTTCTTTACAAGTTTCCCCAAGGTGTACCTTGAAGAAGCGTCTTTCTAAATGGTCTGAGATGATCATGGTGGTTATAAAGGTCGACAGCGACGCGGTGGATTGGAGAATTGATGTGTCCTTCTCATGGGCTCGTCTCTCGCGCTCGTAGCAGCACTGCTGATATTCTCGGTCGTCCATCGAACAAGATCGGCGCCCTCGCCCACCTCAATCGGCTCCGACCTGCAGTTTCTCTTCCAAAATGATCTTGATTGTAAGTGGTACTTCTTCGTCTCATTCATCCGTGCTTTATTCATACTATTGTGCCTAGGGCCATCCGCGACACAGCATAACGGCACCATCTTCCTCAGTACACCCTCCACCAACGCACAATCCCTGGCAGCATGCAACGCGCTCAGCGAAGGTCTCCTCTCAACTTCCGGGCAACACTTCAAAAATGACATAAAAGCCCTCATGCGGTACCTCGTCTTCGACTCGCAGGCGTCTCCGGTGCAGCGCTTCTGGGTGGCTTCTTCCTCTACGAACGGAAACGGAGAGGGAGAAAGCGGTGCCGGAGACGCAGAAAACGCAGACGGAGGGTGTCAGGCGATCGCGGTGGGAGGCGCGGTGGAGTCGGTCCGGTGCGACAGCCGCCTGCCCGCGTTTTGTTCGCAGAGCGCGCCGTATAGACGAAATACGGCGACTGATCAGAGTGAAAGGTTCCGGGTGCAGGTGCAGTCGGAGAAGTCGACGTTTGTTGGGTACGTTCAGTCCTTGGCTTTCTCTTGGTCTGCATATGTTTTATTGGTCGTTAACTGCTGGATTTAAATCAGGACTCGAGATGCTCTCTCCTTCCGCTTTGTCGGCATACCCTATGCAGCGCCTTTCGCCCGATTTTCCTATTCAACTCCATATAACGCCAGCAGCCCAACGACGTTCAACGCCGTCTCCTATGGTTCTCCATGCTTACAGCCCACGGGCGGCTCGGAAGACTGCCTCTTCCTGAACATTCAGACGCCCTTCCTCCCAGCGAACGTGGCTCAGGCTACTCGTGCAAAGATGCTCAAGCCAGTGCTGTTTTGGATTCATGGGGGTGGTTTCATAGACGGAGAGGGTAGTGATGGTGTCTTTGATGGTGGAAATTTGGCGAGTAGGAGCGATATCGTTGTGGTTTCGATTAATTATCGGTACGTGTCTCTTCTTGGTCGTTCTCCTTAAACCAACAGTCTAGTTTATAGAGTGGGCACTCTCGGCTTCCTCGCTCTCAACGATGGCGTTACGAACGGCAATTTTGGTATTGCTGATCAGGTAAGCCAACCAGAGACCTTTCTACCATCCTCATAACACGACTAATCCGTTAGCTTTCTAGATCACTGCCCTCCAGTGGGTAAGAACTCACATCGCCGCATTCGGCGGCGACCCCACCCGAATTACGATCGCCGGACAGTCAGCAGGTGCAGGCTCCGTACGTGCTCTCCTTGGATCGCCACCTGCTTTTGGTCTCTTCGGTGGCGCAATCGCTCAAAGCAACTTAGGCGGCTTCGGCTACGCGACGACGTACACCGAGTATCTGAGCATCGAGACGCAGTATAACAGTTTCGCGAAGGATGTTGTAAGTGGCGTTGGATGCGGGAATGCTACCGACGTGTTGGGGTGTTTGAGGCGTGTAAACGCGACTGCATTGATTATGGCACCGAACGCGCCTAGGTAAGTTGGTTGATACTACGGAATGTCTTCGTTTTTTTTCATGCTTCTACTACAGATACATCGTTATAGACGGGAAATACATCAGGAACTCTCATCTTGCCGTCAACGGCAGAGGCCCTACTGCTCCTGCACACATTATATTCGGATGGACACGCGACGATGGCTCCGATTTCGTTGGGTCTTTCCCCAACACCCGCAGCACGCTCGTCGGGCAACTCACCGGTGCTGGGTAGGTTATTCTTTTCCTTAAGCATTTGCCGTCGTGCTGATTAATGACATCCATTACAGCATGAGTGCAGACGTTGCAAGCAAGGTCCTTGCTCGTCCAGATCTCTTCCCGTTGCCTACGGGCCACAACGCGACCATGAACCTGTATAATCTCACAAGCCGCGTAGGAACGGACGGCCAATTTTTGTAAGACGATTCCGTGTCCTAAATGTGGGAGCCACTGACGATATTTGCTTGCATAGATGCATCGACCAAGCGACACTCATATCCTCAGCGAGGCATCGGTCCTTCCCTTCCGTCTATGCATACCAATTTGATCGGACGTACGCTGGGTTTGAGCCCATTCCTGGAACATGCAACCCACCAACTACGGCGGCGTTCCGAAATGGCGACCCGAATTTGCCTTATTTCCGGTACCTACTCTACCTTTCGCGTTAATATTTGACCATAAATTTCCCCACAGATGCCATTCCGGCGAACTGTACTACACGTTCGGTACACTCGGACAAGATTCTCGCCCATTCCGCGATTCTGCAGACCTTCTGCTCTCTCAAGTCACCGTCGACGCCTGGTCCGCTTTTGTCCGGACGTTCGATCCCAACCCTTCAACCGCCTACCTTATTGCACGGGGTTATATGCCGACGCTGAAGGAGCTCTCCAGGGCTGGAAAGTGGGAGCGCGTGCGCTCTGGCTCTTTATCGACTAGCGGAAACCCGGTGAGGGTTTTGGACGCGAAAACTAGGAATGTGGCGTGGAGAGAGCGTGAACAATGCGATTTGCTCGGATATCCGATTACCATGTTTGAATAGGCGATATAGCCTTGAGCGCTGGGCAGGTGTTCGCTATACAATTTTGCTCCGCTTCTTAATGGCAATTACCAGGAAAAACTGCAAACGTTGCACCTTGAATATTTCACAAATTGATTATACGCGTCTAGTGTGGCCCAGTGTTGCGGTATTTGGCGTGCAGTGGTAATGACAGTGACGACGTTGGCCCAAACAGAGATCCCTCGAAACTCTTTGTTTCCTCTCGAATTTCCATCCTTCTCACAGGCGGCTCGAATTTTATATGAACAAGGTCAGTATTTGTGGGGATAAGGAATTTTTGGAAGGGAAGCGCACAATATCAGTTCTCGGAAGAGTCATCAGGCTCCTCCAACTTGATAATGCTTCTGCAACGAGAATCTGTAATGCAGAGGTCGATGCCGTCCTCAATGAGCGCCTGAAGGAGTGCGGATGCGTCTTTGTCGATATAAATGGCCTCATCGTCAAATCCAGAGAAGATTGATACCGAAATGTCGAGGCTGCATTCACGTCGGAAGATCCCGCTACTACTGTCGTCCGTGTCGCAGCACTGGTACAAGTCACAGATGGAAGTCCAACTGTATGCTCGAGGGCCCCATAACTTGATCACGCCGAGATGTGGGAGGAATGCGTCTTCTTCTTGGTTGTATACGTCAATCGCTGTCGCTCCGAGGTGTTGAAAGAGGGCATCAGAGAGATGGACGAGGAACAAGTCCAGTATCTCGAGGGTTGGGGTGACTTCAAGGAGGGGAATGAGGGGGGCATCTCGTAGCTCGACATAGGAGATTTTTAGAAACGTTAGAGGGCAGGAAGAGCGTTTGAGACAAGCGGTCACACTCTCAAAAACCTCCAACGTTTGTTGTTCGGGAGTGATGGAGAGACAGCGCAATGATGGCAGGGAAATGAGATTGAAGAACCCTGCCGCGTTGTGCCTGTCCCTGTAATCCAACCATTGGAGAGAGCGGCACATAATGACATCGTGCGGCAGCTCGTGCATTTGAATTGGCGGCTGGACAATCTGGAAATCGCATTGGACGAAACGAGGAGCCACGCGAAGAAGGTGCACGCATTCGTCGAAGCGGAACCCGACCATCTCGATGTGGGTTGCATTGGTCCAATCAATAGCGATCGAAGAAAAGTAGAGGCCGCGCAAGCTGATTCTAGTGGGCGATGGAAGAGCGTTCTTCATCACGAAATCCTGCGAGACTTTGGTACGTCGGGGCCACTCGATTGGGGTGATGCGAAGGGCATCTAAATTTGAAGTGGTCGAAGAGTTGCCACAAATTTTGGGAATCAAGGCTGATGGTATATCTAGCTCTAGAATGCCCCAACGATGGGATAAATCGTTGAATTATCTGGGAGGCGTTCGTATTCGTCTCCTCGGGATCTCCTCTCGAGGTAGAGGTCGATGGAAACCAGTAGATCGCCGGAGCGTGTCAACCACTCGCGCATCAATTTGGCCGACTGCAGAAAATCCGGATAGTCGAGCCTGACCTTGATAAAGCTCCAAAGTTGAGGCGTAAAGTGGGCGATGGTGCGCCATCTTCTTGACACTGAAGAAAGGAGCATGGGCACAGGTAACCATTCCTGACGACGAGGACGTTCCCAACGAGGAAATGGATATGACTCCTGAGGCAAGCATTCGATGAATATGCGGGAGTAGAGTTCCGGAGGAAGTTGAGTGAGGGAATCATGCCTGTCATTTCGCTCGGACTTCAAAGTGCGTCTTTTCTCCAAAAATTTGGCTAGGGCCGCCTTGACCACCTCAATCTCCACGTCAAGTTGTTCGATGGCGAGACACGACTCGCATTTTTGGCCTTCAGACAACCGGCATTCCTTGACAGGGACGTCGTACAGATCCAGGGAGTCAGTAGTCCCGCAGGAGCGGCAAGCTAGCATTGTCATCTGGGAAATATTCACAACAACCTGAACCAGAAACACGCAGAGTCTCGTACCTTTCGACCTATGTGTTGCGGAACAGATTACAGAAGTCGAAAAATTCCGTCAAAGCAAGGTAAGACCCCACGTGATCCTCGTAACATACAGAGACAAAAAGTCAGAAAAGCCGAGCTGGAGCACTGGAGAGCACTGGGAGGTAGAGAACGCCCACTTCTGTGCAAACTGCTTATATCTCCACTTGAAGTGAAACATGAGATGAGTCCAAACATTTTCCCCCCATGAAGACGACAATCGTAAATAATTGCTTCATTGTTGTCCAAGAAAAATAGAGTGTGATTGCTCCTACTCCCAAATGAACATCTTTACCTCCGGCACATCCACAAATGACAGAATAAGCCTCTTGTTGGTAATTGAGATATGGATGGTCTGGACGTCTTCTTCCGGACACCCATCCAGAACAGCGTTCGCCAGGACTTTGCCAGAACCCGAGTCCAGGACGCGTACGACCTTCGTCGCAGGTGGTCCGCCTGTAAATACTGGAATAGCAATCCTTGACCCATCGGGCGAAAATGCTACGGGAATTTGTCGCGAAGGAGGTGGCATCGCAGTGCCTGCTGGCTCGATAATCTTCGATTTGCCAGAACTGATATCCCATAGTCGGATGTCGCCCGTACCGTAGCTTGCTAGGAGCTTATTCCCGTCTGGAGAGAACGCCAGGGCTCTAACACCAGCCCCAGGAAGGGTAAGTGGCTGCCCGACCAGTTTCCCAGAGGCGGGGTCAGAGAGCAGAAGCATCCCAGACGACGTCCCAGAAACTACCCTCGTCCCATCTGGCGAGAACGCCCCACACGTACATGCCGCAGGCGATATGCGATGCAGACGCCGAATGCGGGCCTTGTGCTGCTTGTGCTCCGAGACGCCCCACGACACGACCTCGTGGCTCCTTGTCAGCGTTGCCATCCGCTTGCTGTTCGCGTCGATGCACACGATCGGCGAGCTGTTGTCGTTGAACGTCCGCGTGAAGCCACCCATTGCTGGGTGGTGTGCGACAACCCCAGACTCGGATCCGACGACGTAGATGGCGGTGGCAGTCGTGTCTCGTCCTCTGAGCGGAGCGCGAGAGTATGCGATGCAGCTGAGGCGCCCGCCGATGAACGGGCGGCAGATCGATTCGGAGGCTGGGTGGAGGAGCGTCCCATCAGAGGCACTCCAGCACTCGAAGTACCCCGTGGCAAGGCCCGCGATGAGCTCGTTCCCGTCTGGTGACTGGACAAGACAGGTCACACGGGCTGGGTTCCGCATAGTGACGAATCGTTTGTACGGTTTGTCCATGGCCGTATTTCGAAAGAATGTGCCGATTCGGGAGGCGGGTTTGATGCTTGATGTCGATGATCCGGAAGACACAATGGGAGAAGGAGATAGCGATGTTGGAGAAGTCTGTGCTGGTCTCTCGTGAGATCTTTGTGTCGGAGTCTCGTTGCGATACTGCGGTGGGCCTCCTGACTTGCTAGACGAGGCCAATGACACCGTCGAGGTGCTACTACTGGCGTTCGAGGGGTGTTGGTTCCATAAAAGTATGTTGGGCGGAACCTTGGATGACGTGGCGGATGACTGACGAGCAGGCCGGAGTGGATGTGGCGCATGTTGTGCTGCAGACGGAGGAGTTAAGGCCAGCTGCGGTGCTGTTGGAGAAAACTGAGGGGTAGGCATAGCCTGCGGAGGCGGTGGTGCTGCACGAGCAGGTCGGGCTCGACTCGGACGAGAAAGAAGGGCGGCGAGCTCCTCGCACAACGATGTAGCTCGCGGACGAGCAGCAGGATCCGAGTTCCAGCACCTCTGGGCAATAGTCCACACCTCATCGCTGAGCTGAGGTGCATCTCTGGCATCTGGTCGATCAGGTCGAACGTGGTTTTGCACGACCACTTGACGGAGTATGCCTGGAGCGAGGTTGCCAAGAGGTATGTCTCTGGCGTAGAGCTTGATGGTTATCAATAAGAATCTTCTAACTTTGGACAATAGGAGGACAGGAATTACCTCGTAAATCGTCATTCCAAACGAATAGACGTCACATTCGACCTTCAACGAGCGACCTTGGAATAGCTCGGGTGCCATCCAATTCTGACTGCCCATGAATCCGGAGGTGTCGCCGGTCGACCGACTGTTAATGTCGGCCTTGATTCTTGCAAGGCCAAAATCGCACAAGAGGGCCCGCTCGCCTTCGTCGATTAGGACGTTGACTCCCTTGAGATCGCCATGGATGACGTGGTTTGAGTGAAGGTAGACGAGGCCGAGAGAGATTTGGTGGATCTGGGTGGAGAATGAGACTTTGAAAGAGAAACGAAATGTTGAACGTACGAGCTTGAGGCAATCACATTCGGGATGCTCATCGATGTAGTCACGAGCGTTGCCGTTCTTGATGAGGGGCATGACAATGAAGGGTTCCTCATTGAGGATATTCGCCCCTAGAAACTCTGTCGAAGAACGAGATATTTTTTTTTAGAAGGACAACGTGGCGGATAGGACATACGAAGGATGTGAGGATGACGAAGCTTCGACCAAGTCTAGTTGCAGACGATTAGACGAAGCCCAGCCTCTTGCAAAGTTGATTTTGGTGCTTACATCGACTTCACGGCGCACTGCCTGCAACCAGAATGAGGACGCAAAAATACCATATCATGGCGAAAGCCACCTACCGCCGCCCTCGGGGTGATATCCTCGCTGTTCTTCATCACCTTCAACGCCACCTCCATCTTATTCCATGTCCCCCGATACACCTTCCCGCTGGAAACCAACATCAGTCCGTGTCAGAAGAACGTCAGAGACAGAAACTCACAAGCCGCCAGATCCGATCAGAGGTCCAAACTCAACATCGTATGGGCTGATCGTCCACGGCTTGATATCGACCTGCTGGCCGCTAACCCTTGTCAGGCAACGCAGACTGTGCGTGAAGAACTGGAGGTCCTCTTTCTCCCCCTGTTTCTCCTCAATGCGGCGGTGAAGGGAAACCATGAGCGCGGTAGGGCTGTTCTTCTTGATGTCGAGCACCTCCATGAGACGGAGGTTGTCGGCTGCGAGCTGGTTGAGGCGGAGGTTGAGGGACCTGCGATCCTTGGCTCTAGCTTTGTCGTTCCTCTCTTGCCATTGCTGAATGTTGACGAGAGCCGATATCTACGCGATGTGGGTTGAGCTTGCTACCACCGTCGAATAAGAATAAGCGTTCGACTCACTTGGAAAGCTGCTATTGTGGCCGTAAGTCGAGCTTGATAGTTTTCGATCGAAGCGACTGTTTGAGCCTTGACGAAAAGAATTTGGAAGAAAGATAACGAGGCGTGCTTCCTGACAAATGCCGAGATATCTTGCAGAAGTCTGAGGGAATTCAGCGAATTAAACAACGGACACGATACTGACTACGCACGTATTCAGATCCGCCAACTCGGTCGAAGCCGCACTCTCCCCAAGTTTTCCTGCATGAAACTGTTTGTTGAGAGTCTGCAGCAGTATCGCCACTGATTGGGCAAGTGAGTTGAGCTGTTCCTGGCTAGCCTGGGCTTCTTCAACATGGAGAACGATTGATTGAAAGATCGAGAAGGCGAAGCTGAGGCCGGGGACGGGTTGCAGATTCAAACATTGTTGAACGATATTGGACATCCAGGTAGAAGGGAGAAGAGTTGAGTCATGTTCGAATAGGGTTGGCAGCGTAAGGGACGAGATGACTGTGTGATCTAGCTGTCAGCTGAAAATATCCTATCCTGAGCGCTGTGCCCACGAACTTGCGGTCTTGGGCCATCGTTTGCAAATCGTGGCTATGTCTATGTTGAAGAACTGTTCTGCATCAATAAGTTGGATATTCGACTGGTGTGAAGGGAGAGGACGGGAGATTGAGGAGCTGGAAAGAAGAGAACGGTGAAAGTGCACGGACCAAATTGGCAACGGCAACGATGGGATGTCACAGCGTTATCTAATCTAACCCAAGATTTAACCCCCTTTCAGTGAAATACGAAGCCTTAGGTCAACTGCAGGTTGAGGTTGCTCCTCTAAAGCTGTTTTTACGCAAATATTTCTTCGTTGGGTATCTTTACGAAGTCTCGAGAGTCCAGAATATTTTTCATGCCCAACTTAACCAGTTGAAGTCGATCGAGGATTGGTCGTAGACTTCGCACACACTTTGCGAGGACTCGAGAGATGGACTTTATGCCCATTGCCAACTTAATGTAATACCGCTAATTCCTTTACCTATTCACTGTTTAATATTTGACACCTTCTGGACGGCTTGGGACATTGCCCACATCGGGAAGCTTCCGGAGACTCCAATGTACCTTGTTTCTCCCTTAACCGAGAAACCCAGGCGCTTATAGATATCGACCTGATGCGATAAATTAACGGTAGGTTCGCCCGAGCAGTCAGCTTTACATACATTATAGTCCGCTGTCGCCTCCAAGGTGAGCGGTATTCCGTCCATGCATGCCTTGCAGTTATCCGATGTCAATGAAAAGTACAGGTGTTGGCAAGATAGAGGCACACCTTCTGCTTCATTTTTTCGATGAGAGTTCGTGCAATTCCTTTGTGCTGAAATTTTGGTTCCACGGCAAAGGCTTGAAGGTGCCAAGAGGCTAGCTTCACTCCCTCACCAAAGGCCTCCTCGCAAAATGAGGCATATTTCGGGAGCAACTATTCGGGCGCCAGCATAGTAAATCTCGGCTCCTTGTCACGTTTAAGCACCATCGACCTACATATGTTTCCCACCATTTCGTGATCTCAGGACGAAATCTGTCGGCGCATATCGGCCAGGCTTTCTCTCGCTGGTCGGAGCTAACCCAGAGTAAACGCGTGGTATCATCTATAATCTCTTAGGACACGTACGAATCATAGAGCGCTCGTCCTGGTCCGTACCACACGGCCGCGGCGATTATAACCTTCTCAGTGGCATGTTCCGCGACATACACCTCCCCACCATGGAGGCCGGCCACCATCAACGAGCGCCAGAATGGGCCGAAGATAGCACGATCACCTCCAGTAGCAACATCGGTAAATTTGTCTATGATTTAGATTTGAAAGTCAACATTTTGAATACGGACGAAGTAGTCTTCTGGTACCGTACCATTCTCGAAAGCCGCCGCCAAGAATGCATCAGCTTGCTTCGATTCTTTATCTACGACATTGTGAGTACGAGGTTCGAAGAAAATGGACTGACTCACTGTCCATAGTCTCCAATTTTCGAATCGTATAGAACAGCTCTGGGGCGGTCATTGTGCGTCTGGAAGAAGGGAATGAGCGAAAGCCTTGAGATATGACACTAATCCAACATTTTATATGCGGAGGCGCCGGAATATAGGTAAAGCCGAGCGCAAGGGCCCTATGAGAAATGTAAGCAAAGAAGGTTTGAAGGTGTTCTTTTTTGAGCGGGCGCTGAAGATATCTAGGAAAGGGTGAATACGGACTTTCGAATTGCCGAGTGCAGGCACTAGTTACCACCGCGCGCTCTGTGGCAAGGAAGTATAGAAATCCCTTAAGGCCTCAACATATTGCATGCACAAGACCAAACAGCAGTCTGGATGGGAATGCTTGCCAAGTTCGTTGGGATTCTTCCATCTGGATCATTGGAAATAGAGATGTGGGAAGCCGCTTGCAATATTGACGGTTGTGGAGAAAGTAGCACCCACTGCGTACGAATCCAGATTCTGCCAGAGAACTTAGTGCGATTTAGATTCTGAGTCATTTGAAAGCAACAGGGTGTGATGATACACGACGGGATAGACATCATTTTCTTCCTGCCAAGAATGTATCATCGGGCGATTCAATATGGATTCGCGAGGATACACAGGAAAGACGTACTTCAATTGAGCTGGACGTCTCCTTTCTCTGAACCCACAATGACCTCATCCACCGAGACCGAATCCAAAGCGGCGTCAATCGTTCGAACGGGACCCGTGAACCAGTGCCTTCCTCCGTAAATAGGGAGGAAGTAGTATACAACGCTGAGCAGGAGAATACCACCAACGACTACCACAGCATAGTTCATAGTTTCAGCTTCTGGATCTGTGTCGGCAGGAAACATTAGATGATCATTAACGCCATGAAGGCCACTGCGGTGAATGAGACCGGGGCGCTCTGTCACGAGAGAGGATGAATTCAGAGTGGAATGGAGGTAGGAAAGAGGTAGGAAAGAAGTAGGAACGCACCAAACGCCCAAGACTGAACGGCCCAGGTTTGAAAATTTGGCCTCCCAAATGCCGAGCCGAAATAGGGATTGAATAGGCGATGTATTGGCAGATAACGCCCATCGTAAACACCGCGCCGACAGCCACGGGACCAGCGAAGGACAGAAGGCCGAGAACCATGGCCATGAATGCGCAGAAGAACACGCAGACCACGGGCGTCCCAGTGGTCCCATTTATTCGGTATAAGAAGCTGGAGAAGGGTAGGGCGCCATCACGAGAGAAGGCGAACATCTGTCGAGATGCTGCTAGGAGCTGCAGAGAAGCCGTTGTCAGACGAGTTAGAGTCATTCCGGAACTTGGGCTTTACGATGTTCATAGACGTCATATTCCTGTCAGGAGGTTAGCAGGTAGAAACGTACGGGAAGATGGCACACATAGTCACGATGATGAAACTCCACACGGTGAGGGTACCCTTCTGTCCTAGACTGTTGAAAATTATCTGCGTATGGGTAAAATGAGAGGGCAGCACCAGAGGCAAAGTGGTCGATACTTACAGTCGCCATCGACTGGCCTATAGGATTTGATAAAATTGTTGCCGTATCTTTGCCCATATTGAAGGAAACAACGACGTTGAATGCTATCATGAACTGAGTAGCCTAATAAACAAGAAAAGAGGCAGAACTTGCCCCACCCAAAAATACATCCCAAGGCGGTAGACATGATTATCGTTCTTGGAACAGCCACGCTCGCATTTCTTGCTTCTTCGCTAATATGGACGCTGGAGTCGAGGCCACCTTGACCAATCGTTAGTGACCTGGACTGTCGCAAGGCCTCAGTAAGAAATATGCTCACCGACTGTCCAGGCCGGAGCGAGGAACGAGAGGAGAAACGCGAATCCGCTGGGCCAGTGCATTACTAAAGCACATATAGTGAATTTCAGTATACTTTCATCATAATTACTGAAGAAGATTCATACAATTCTCAAAGTTCCCGAATACGTACGCCGCTGAGTTCTTGAATTCGGGTGGGGTCACAATTGGCATCGCGATAAGTAAAACGAGAAAGACTCTTTTCAGTCAGGAATCAAGACTCCCAGATACGTATGAAATGAGAAAGCCATACAAGATGTTTAAGGTGAGGTAGAACCACTGTATACGCGCGACGAACTTGGTTGCAAGGCTTGACAACAACGCGTGGAATACGATGAGCGCGACAAACAGGCCACTGGATTTATAATTGAATAGTCAAGTTAGTACTTTAACGTCGACTAAATTACGAGATAGCCAAACGACGTACTAGATTTGTGAAGTCGTAGGAATGAAGGTGTCCTCTGAGCCGATTGTCACGGCTGCAAATATCTGCAGCGAGGTGGCGTATTCAGAGCCTGCGGTGCCAGCAACGTAACCAACGGGATGGTCCAAAAACGACACAACACTGTGTCGCATCTCACCTCAAAGGCGTCTGTGTCGCATCTTCGGCCGCAATCTTATCTACGTGATTATCTGCCAACGCCTTAGCTAACTCTTTGTTGTATTATAAGATACTCAATACGAGGTCCTCTAGTTAATATCTATGCCTCCGGGGTGATTTTCTTCAGAATATGGCCATCCCAGCCGTTGACTGGTGGAAGGTTGTCTAAGAAGTATTGTGGGTTGAGTGCGCCGTGAGAATACTCACCAGCGGCCATCCAATTAGATCGACTTCCTGCACGAAAGATTCCCACTCATCCAGGTTCGACTTGAGCTTGAGGTCGTATTCGACATTCATTCGGATGTTCATTTCACGAACTTTTTCGGCCGCAGTGGTCGAACGGCGGGCGTGGCGAGAGAGACAGTGTTCAAGCGTGCTACGCGTCCGAGAGCCATCGCCGCTCGTCGTCTGCCTCCATCTCACTTTCCTCCACTGTGGTCCGCCTCGCCTTCCTCATCTGAGTCAAGGATTTCTATCACGCTGAATGTCGCGTATTTTGATGTCGCCAGCGGTGTCTCGGCGCGTCAATTCGATGTCGAACGGCTCTGGCTTCAGCTTAGGGGTGTTCTCGAGAGATTTCGATGCGTCAAACGCGGTGCTGGCGGCGTCTTCGCCCTGTTTAACGCATTTTACAGGTGCATTTTCGTCGAGCCACTGCTGCAAATGGCCTACGTTGACCCAGTCGGTGTTCAGAAAGGTGTCAGGGTGCGCTTGGATCCACGCGGGTGAAAAACTGATTGGTTGGCCGGACATTAGTATTAGCGCCGACGGAAGCCGCTGGACAATAGGTTTGAGGTCGCGGGTTTCGAGACCATGGTGGTGGTTGGGGGAAGAAATGCTCGATGACTGGATCCCCCCCCTCCTGGCCCTTTTTCTTGGTGGACAGCGGCCCCTATGGCGCGTACCCCCTGCGGCATGCACGGTGCCTCCTGTGGCATGGCGCTGAGGAGCATGGGAAATACATATGTATATTTTTCCTCTCAAAAATTAATTACGGATAACTTCCGCAAACATGACTCGACACTGTGTCATATCTCACCTTCCCGACTCGAGATGCGACACAGTGCTGTGTCGTAGAAGGTATATACCCCGTAACCAATGCTATTACTGTCTGAGGGCGTGTCATCATGGGAACCGAATTGCCATTTATAAACAGAGACGTACATCCCACGATCCACGAAAGAACCTTTTGGTATTTCGGTGATGAGAATTTGAATGACCAGTAATAAAGTCCGCCAGTGGTTGGAGCAGCTGAGGCGAGCTCAGCCATGGAGAAAGCGATTGACATGATCAAGACACAGCAGGCTGCCCACTGCGAATAAAGCAATAAGTATGGGGTCTCCAGCAAACGAGTATGAGAATCGTGCGTACCCCCCAGACCATCGCGGCTGCACCGCCATTGGGGAGTGAATATACAAGCACGGCACTATCACGACCTTGATGAGTGCTCTCATATCAAGGATAGCGAAACGGAAACCCACGCTATGGATTGTACGACACCGATGATGCTAAAACTCAGTCCCAGGAGCTCCCCCCATGAGAAGTCCCTCTTCAGCTCCTGCCTGTACCCTAAGCTCGCGAGTACCTCCTCGTCGTTCGAAGCGAAACGCTGGCGAAGGCGGTCGCTCTTTCCCCCGCTCGACATGGAGGTAGAGGATGAGGGTAAGAGCCCTGAGGTGCGCCCAAAGTCCCTTGCGATGGCCTGGGATACATTCTGTTGCTGAATGGGGAGCCAGAATTGCCTTTCGACCTGGCCTCCCGGGTCGAATCAGCTTTCATTCTATGGGTTTAGATAAGCCGAAGCAGTTTAAAAATAGACAGCGCATTCGTGATAAGGACGCACTGAATATGTTTTATTGTCATAGGATGCGGACAACAGGGGATCTTTTGTTCATCAAGTCAGGCAGACAGAGCTTGCATGTCTATTTGAGTGTTGACGATAAATCTAGAAGAGCAGAGCTCGGCTTAGAGAAAGGGGCATATTAAGACAGAAGAACGTACTCATGCTCTTCCCTTGGTATCTCACCAGCTTCATTCAAAGCCGCTCAGACCGCATCGGGTACACCTCATCACGTTCTTATAACGCACTTGTTGCGCAGTCTCCGGGTCGTAAGGAGAAGGCCAGGAATCGACCAAGCAGCGTCCTCGATATCTTCAATATTTGGTGTCGTTGAAGGCAGGCGATTGGAATAGCGGGTTGATGTTGACGGTGACGAACAGAACATGAGAAGAACATCCTGCGTGATCGTCTTCCTCTCCCTGCTAGAAGGCCATCTGTTCCTCCCGGATTTAGTTTACCTGGGCAACAAGATATTTTACTACAATTATGATAAGAAAATCGATTAATCGAGGTTTCAGGCGCCAGTTGTGCCCGTAATACTCACCGAAAAGATGCCAGCTACGCGGCGGCACCACATGAGTGGGATTTTGATCGTGAACATAAACACGACGCAGAGCCTACATGACGTTTCTGCGAAGATTCGGAAGAAAGGAATGACCTGCAAGATCACCAGGAATCTGTCAGGAGTGTGGTCTGGTGTGGTCGTCGAGGGCTGAAAAAGGAATGCCAAGCCTTTCCCCAAGGACTACTCTCGTGCCGGAAGTCCCGGGGCGCCGAAGGCTCCATTCAACCCAACCTCAGTTCAACCTCATCGCGGTGAAGACTCCACGCTGATCCCGTTATTATAGGCTTTACAGATCGACAGTTACTCGGAAGCTAGAAGAAAGGTGATCAATCACTGTAGCTCCAATAGAGAAAATAGCTCAGTAACAAGCAAGTAACAAGTTTTATGAGCGCAAAACAATTGTACCCTCCTCCTCCTATCACCAGCACCCGTCGAGAGAAATGCCACTATCGACGGGTGCCAAACAGAAAAAGCCATATTTTGAGAGAAACGCATAATACTAATCGTGATCCCTGTACTTTTCCAGTCGGAACGCCTGATGCTGTCCAGGGAATGTTCCGCATCGCCGTCGTCTTGCAAATTTCTCGCCTCTGTTGATCAGATTGCTCTTCGCAAGGTCTGCGTGTTGGAGCACCTTTCTTATTTCTTCCAAATCTCACACAGCCAAAGAAGCCCCGCCTGTACGAGCACTTCTCTCTGACGGACCATGAGTCGCTTTACTCGCTTTCTTCCTTTTCCTCTTCCTACTTTCATTACTGCTTTTCCTACTTCTCCTTCTGATCTGGCCAAAATATGCGAAAGTCTCCCTCTTTGTTCACCGGCACATCGAACAACTGTAACTGCAACTGTGACGACGGCGGGACCAGCCTCCCCGACGATGAACCAAGCCCTTTCTTCCTTGCATGGCGTACCAGAACCAGGTCCTAGCACTTCCGTCACGTCGAGTGCTGTCGTTCCACCTTCCATATTGACTATGTTTGTGGCTCTCGACTTATATAGAGGCGTAAAATACTTTGTACTGATTCGTTCATTCTCATTCAGAACAGCACTGGCAGTTGCGACGAGATCAACGAGTATCCTCGAGGTATCCTCATATTCCTGGCCATCGAGTGTGAGAGATGGGTAAGCCGCCTCAAGAGTAGAAATAAACTGAGAGAGGTTAAAAATTTCATCCATAGTAAATCTGGTGATACTGGCTTGTCCAATTCGAACACGCCCACAGCTACTGGCAACCCCGTGGGCCTTCCTACAAGTGGCGAAGCAAGGTATTCCATACTTCGAAGGCACTGATATTCATTCACTTATTACTCCCTTTTTTCTGCTCCACAGTGGACGAAAAGCATTGCTTATTGGAGCGTTTATTGGTGGCGGGATCGTCCTTTTTATTCTCCTTGCAGGAGCGGCATTTCTCGTAATTAAACGACGCAGGCGCGGAAATACGGAATGGTTTTACGCGAATATTGAGATTCAAGAATCCACGGAGGTGTTGAAGGAAGTCTCTCGGTAGGTTTAGGAGCGGGCGAGGTAGGGTCCTTGTTCAAGTTGGGCGCTTATGTATGGAATTGGCAGGGGATATTCGCACTCTTCTCTCGTTATATCCGATTCTCTAGAAAATGTATTTGACACCTTGTCGTTAGGACTGTATATGATTCTAGAGTAAAGTGCTTTATAGGTGTCAGCTCGAGTGCGATACTTCGGCCTAACTGGACGAATGGTCTTGAGGCCGTTCCTCGATGGGGATTTTCAAGTCTTCTTGGGTTCGAGTCAAATTACATCGTGGCGAAGATGAAAAATCCAGCTGGCACCACACGAACCTATTAGGGAAGTTAAATATGTGGTTTCCATTACAGACTGGTTCGACGAGGAGGCCATATTAGGTTACGGAGGCGCGAATTTACAGTAACAGCGACGTGTCTCCCTTCGTGTGTCCTTGACTGCTCGAAACGACTTGAGTGCTGAACATCGTCGCGTCCTTTGTAGACGTCTCCTGCGATGGGAAGTCGTTTTACTGTTGGTATCAATACCAACCGAGAGAGCAGCATGTAACATCGGGGCATCCGAGTTCAACCTGAGTAGTCTTCGTGTATGTCACGGCATGTGGCGGCTTTGCATTTCAGTACTCTATTGAAGCTAGATTTCCTCACTCGGCCGCGGTAAGATTGGACTATTGTAAGTTGGAGAAACATATTATTGTTGATGGACACAAAATGAGTCCATCCCATTCTTACGCTTCGCCGAAATTCGTCCCTTGAGGCCCACTGCGAAAATCCACCGTGACCGAGAATTGTGGCGGCGCGGACATTCTCCCTGTCCGAGTGGCTTTGGCATGCCTGTGTCAACCGATTATCAAGGAAAGGGTTCTCTTGAGAGAATGATTCCACAGGTTAAATACTAAGAATGGTCGCGATCAAAAGGGCGAGATCGATCAGAGTGAATGTCGCTTACGGGCATCCTTCATCCATCTTCAAAGTGCGGTTCAAATGCATTACGCTGGCCGACCAGCATGGAGGGCATTGACAGCGATTGGAAAAACCGGGCTACGACACCAACAGAAACAGAACGAGGGCGGTCGCCATGAAGCCCGAACTAATGATTGATGTGCTAGAGAGGACAGAGGTAAATGATACGGCGGCGAAGTGATGTAACAAGTAGTCGTACCGGCGAAGCCTATCCGGCTCTACACCATTCGGTTGAGTCGAGGTGCCTCTTTCTGAGGTTGTCGTCACCGACCGCTGTCGGGTTAAGAGATGTCCTCGCAGTCGGCGACGGCGAATCTTCTAGCGAAACGGTTGTAGGCAAGTAACCCGATGATGTGGTTGTGGAATAAGAAAGCGACGAGATAGAAAGTGGTGCTCGGTCGTCCGGAGCAGGGTCTCCTGGAAGGGCGACTATAGGTATTGTCGGCCAGCTCGTTGGGAGAGGCGCCACAGTCGCCGGACCACCTGTCGAGCTGATAGCGACGGTGTTGGTTAACAGTATGATGTTATCGAAGGAAGACGTGGGGCTGGAGAAGGAAGAGAGGGCGGGAATTGAGCTCAAGGTGGCCGTCAGGGGAGATGAGGAGCTCATGCCACTGTGGGGGTGCTACAAGACTTAGCCTTGCTTGCGTCTTTATTCTGTTCATAGAGTCCTTCAGATCAATTATAGAAGTGATATAGAGCGGACGGCTTACGAAGATAAGTTGTTTGAGGGGTCGCTGTTAGGAAACGGCCATGCATCGGATTCACAGGGAAGGCATTATCCAGCCACTTGGGTCTTCCATATTGATGGCTTCCCGCACTCGACTGGAGTTCGCTGATATGTCGCAGTACGCAAGGTGGAAGGCCCGGACATTATGGTAGCGGCGGCGTTGGGGGCGAGAGATACGTGTCATGCTGTGGGATTTGACAGCGCATCTCGGGATGAAGGCCAGCTAAAAACATCGGACTTGCGAAGATACCTCAACCGGTGTCGCTCGCGTTCATAAGTCGGCGGTATTGACATTTGGTGATTGAAAGTCTTCGTGTGCGGGCTTGCGGGAGGCTCCATCATGAAACCAAGAGGCAGAGAAACAGCACAGTTGCCACGGAACGCGCAAAATAGCCAGGAGCACTGAGGTAAACGTCACCATCAAGATGTTTAGCAGTAGGAATGTGCGCTCACCGCGGAAACCCATCCCCACCGCTCAATTGACTCGAAATATCTCCAACTCCTGCGCTGTCCGTCGGCGTCGTCACTGGCGTAGGGTCTGTATTCACCGACGGCTGGTTGGACGGTGCTGTGGACCACAATGAATGTCCAGTCGTGAAAAAGACTGATGTACGATCTTGAGGAGCGGGGCTATCTTCCGATCTTGAAAATGAAAGCACCCAGGTAGCAGACGGAGTATCGGTGGCTGGGACGGTCGTGGTGATCCAAGTGTCTCCTGGAAGAAGCAGACTCGACGGGATAGTAGGCCATTTGGTGGGAATAGGTGCGACAGTGGCCGTAATAGTGTCATTAGCAAAGTCAGAGTTGTAGGAAACACTGAAGGACGGGACTGAGGTGGTACCGGAACCAGTTGGGGAAACCTGAAGGCTGGTGGTTAAGTTTGCCATCGTCGTTGTGCGACAAAGAATTCGTTGCGTGTGCCGTGTGCTGTGCTTGATTACAAATATATTTTCACGCCCCTAAACGGTCTCCACGACTCCTTTGACCGCGCTTTCTCCATTTCGAGATTACCTAGCGAAAAATTAAACTGCAAGAATTGCACTTTTCACACGTATTGTGTACATTGAGCTGGGTATGAAGACATACAGCTATTGCAGAGGCAGGAATAGGTCCTCGAACATGGAGCAATTAGGCTGACTTCACCGAGTTGATCACTACAACAAATCCTCCAGCAAATAAGAATTGCCCTCCAACGGAGAAGAATATTTTGGGATATTTCAGAAAGTTCTAGACCTTGGAAGTCAGGTCATCTCAAATTTCAGGTCAAGAAGAGTCTTTAATATTATTCGTCTGTATTAGAATAGAAATTAACAGAGGGCGCTTGAATGTGTCTATACTGAGTGTCCAACGAGCAAAATTCGAACCTTCCATCCTCCAGTAGGGCCATAACATCGGTCGGATCAGTCCTCGCCTTCACCGTCTTCATCACGGGCAAATTAGTACCATCTATTTGCTCAACCAGAGTGTCGAACATCGCGTTATTGGGGTACAAAAGCATCATAAATGTTGCTCGTTGTGCGAGTCGATAGAGCGTAGGAAAGACTCGACGGCATAAGTAATGATTACGTCGGCTTTCAAGCTAAGTTCCTAGCACCAATAAGAGGGAAGAAGAGCATTGACGAGAACAGAAGAAGCGAGAGCAGACCTGATTCTCGTTGATGAAAACGTTAACCAAGCTCCTCGTGGTGTCGAGAATCGAGAAGGTGTGGAAGATACCCCTAACACGGGTGGTCAGTTTAAGCATTCCTGTCTATGAATATTGAACTAACCGTCGACCGTACGACGCGGCTGTGACTAAATGAGGTCGGCGAAGGAGTGCGTTTCGATGTTGCTTCCGAGGTTAGGAATGGCGAGGAAAGCGCCCTCTAGGGGAGTGACATGCATCTGGGGTAGGGAAGGAAGGACGACGACGAGACAAGAGGTAGCTCGGAATAATGCTAACACCAGCATATGAGAAGTCCCAAGAACCCATACTTGTACGGGGCCGCTGAGGAAGGAAAAGAGCAGGAAGGACGCCAATGTGAAAGCATCTCGTCCACTATAAGGTAGATAGGAGAAAACCGCCGCGCTTTCCTGTTCATTTTACTGGAATAGCAATGCCAGGATTACGACACGAGGCGCTGGCGTGAGAGGAAATGGCAACGGAGAGACACAGAACGAGTCAAACGAAAGCGAATCAAGACGAGCAGCGGGGAGTTTTTGACGAGGATCCAACAGAATCACCCACCGCCTCTGTATGAAAGGACGGGGATGGCCTTAAAGGTGGATAGTTCAAAAAGACCAAGCTGCTCGCTCGATATTTCGCCGCCAGCGATACTCGCATGGAGGGATGGGCAAATCATGGTCGAAAGAGCGGAGCGTACACCAAGAGCGACAAGTCTAGAGCAAGCAGCTAGACAGGGGGAGCTTGAATGGGAAAGAGATGGCGGCTCTGTCATCGACGATCGAAAGAATATAGATTTCGGCGGCAAATAGAGGGGCGGACGAGGTTCTGCGGGGTGTGTGTAGATGAACATTATTTTCCGTCTGAAGAAATCTCCCTCACCTCACGATGTACCATTGAGCCACTCATCTACGAAGAGCTGCTGCAAAGCAAGGAGACTGCCGGGAATCGCAGATCTAGGACGACGAGAACTCCCGAATTGAATTTCGCAAGTGAAGTTGAATATCGCTAGAGCGGAAAGGATTGAGCGAGAGGACATCGGGATGATGAAAGAAGTAAGAAGAAAGGAACGCACGATTGGCAAAACGGGTGGGCGACATCAGCCAGGTGCGTGAGACCTATTGTCCTTTCTGGGACGAGAAGGACAAAGATATATCCCTTGGGCGGCTGCTCAGCGCTCAGCGCTCAGGAGCGAGGACAACAAATCCCTACATGACGTCGCGTTCGCTGTAGAGTAAAAATACTTAGCGTTTGAATCTCTCCTTTTCGTCTCCACTCGAACTTAGGCCGACGAAAACATCAGCCTCCGTGCCAGTACGACGCTCGGAGATAGGAGGTTGACTAGCCTTCTCCTTGTCGGAATCGTCCTGCGAGGCCACTCCTCGACCTACCCGTCCAATGAGAGTCAGGTGCACTACGACCTCTCCGCAACCTCGCACTCACTTCTCGGAAATACGAAGAGTAATTTCGCACGAGCGTCTCCTCTTTCTGGGTCGAGGACAGGCGCCGCAGCTGCATTGGCGCTTACCGACGTTTTGAGCCGGCTCCGTTCTGGAAAGCTTTCGTTGAGCGTCTGGCCCTGAACGTTGTCAGGGAGGTGTCGGGTTCTTGAACTGGAAGTGCGCCTTTATCTGTGTTCCCAGTATCGCGCTAGAGTTCCCGGAATGGTTTCGCGTAAGAACGAACTAGTAGTCACAATAAGCCGTGATCATTCTCGAGCAAAAGATGTACTTACTCGAGTGACATCCAGTGTGAAATCGCCCTTCCGCGCTCGCCGCTAGTCCGAGGCAGGTCCACATCCAGTCGGTGGGAGACACGCATCTCTCAGTCTCGCAGTCCCCACCGCTGTCGCCAACGAGCCGCCCAGAAGACGCCGATGGCGACGTAAATGCGGCTCGACTTCCTTGTGCCATTCCTGGCCGAGGTTTGCTAGCTCGGAGGACGTGCCCATACGTCTCCGGCGCGGCACGAAAGCAGCCTAGACAATGTTCGTCGGATTTTTGAGTGTGCTAAGGCCGGTGGCGACAAAATTCACGGAACCCACGTCAATCCCGATGGCCCTTAGGCAGTGCGAACGCTTCCTGAACTGGTCCTCGTTGATGGTGGGTAGCTGAGATGCAGAACGGGTATTCGAAAGAGGTGCGCAGAATCCGGGTCCAGTTCGATTTGAATTTTCGCTCTCCTGTCGTTGTATCACGCAGGAGTTCATTTCATCCGTCTGCAACCCAAGCGACAATAAGTCCCCCCTGCTTTCATAAGACCAGGGTTTACTTGCCTTTCACCTCAGGGCCAAGTTCGTCATGTCCGATCCTTGGCCCGCCCTGTGCAATGAAGCCATAGTCTACGGAGACAGCTAAGACGCTGGAAGAGATTGATTGGTCGATAAATAAGCGCACTTAGGGTACGCGTCACTGCGAAATGTCCACTGCTGCTTCGTGGGGAGGGAGGTTCTGGCAATAGTACGTCACTACGTCAGTAAGGACCAGAAAACGGACGAAGAAAGGTGACTTACCCGAGAAGGGATACCTTTGTTTGAATTGAGTGTGAATCATGGCATGAGATGAGGTCCTCAGTCTTGGACTCGGAGAACCGAAGAAGAAAGCGAGTCGCAAGGGCGTCTAGACTCAGTTGGACGACCACTCGAAGGTCGGCCGGCAAGTCACATGATCGCACGTAGATCGCGACATTCAAGCCTTCGAAGTTCGAATCCAAATTGAACTTACGTTCATACATTCACCAACAGCAGAATCGCGGGGTAAGCCTTCTCGTTTCTATCTTCTAAGCAACCAAAACTCAATGCATTCCCGTCGATTACCAGGCATTTTCGCTCATAAGAGCCTAAAGCAGACGACAGATGACAAGGTTTTCTTGCGCCACGTGTGGTGCCGCAGGCACATTCGGCGTCAACTACCCCGCTACCAGCTGCACATCCTGGAGAAAATCACCGCGTTCTTGTCCACCCTGTTTGAAGCTCAAGATTATAGACAATCAAATTGCGGAAACGCGAGCATTTCTCGACCATCTGGAAGCTCATCGCGATGCATTGAAGGCAGACATCAATACCTCTCATGACCCCTTCACAAACGTCTTCCCCACCGAAATCGCACACAGGATATTCTCCCTATGCAAGAAAGAGAGCCCAGAAATCCTTTCAAAGTACTCTCAATGTCACTTACAGTACCTCAATCGTGTGCCGCTGTCTCTAGCCGCCGTGTGCAAGCGATGGCAAGCCGTAGCGTGGTCGACTCCTTCTTTATGGGCTCTCGTATACTTCCACATCGGCCGTGTTGTCGATACCACCCTCTATGAAGACATATTTCGTCGCTGGCTCAGACGCTCTGGCTGCCAGTTGCTGTCCATCTACCTGCACATTGACGATTACGACAGTAGCAACAGGGAGTGGGACCGATTTTGCCGATCCGTTATAGGCGCCATCAGCGACAATTGGCATCGCTGGCAGAACCTTTCCCTAACCATCCCACTCCACCTCCTTTCTCTATTTAGACGTATGCACCACGACGTCGACGGTCGGCCACACCTTCGCAACTTATTCATTTGCCCTCCGTTCAGCAATAGCCCCACACATGTCACGTCAGTCTTTGACATAGGCACTAGCTTTAGGCCAGATCCTGATACGGTATATCTTTCAGACTGTCTATTCCAAGACATTCACATCGACTGGGTGAATGTTACTCAAGTCACCATCGAGGGCTTTTGCCTTTCGGACTGCTTTGAATTGCTCAAGTCCGCCCCTCTATTGTTCAACTGCGCTTTCGAAAGAGTCGCCGAGTTCGGTGACGATCTTCCCTATAGTGGAGGGCCCATCGTCCATCACCGATTGAAGACGTTGGTCATCGAAATTATGACCCACTCAAATCCCTCCTTCTTCGACAATCTCACGCTTCCGTCGTTGGAGCGACTCACGTACTTCTGCCACATCAGCGAGGAACCGTTGGACGACGTGACATCGCTTCTGGACCGTTCCGAGTGCCCTATCAACTTCCTTTCCGTTTCCGAATCTACCTATCCACACGACACTGTTGGTCTATTCGATCTACTATGGAGTGTTCCGACGATCGAAGGCCTCGAACTGTACAACATTGCTCTAAACGACGAGTTTTTCGAGCTTCTCGCCCTCGACGTGCCGACCTCAGATGGTGGGGAATACGGCGAATTCCTGCCTCGCCTTCAGACGCTCGTACTGTCCATTTCAGACGGGCCCCACACCTTCTCGTGGCCAGCATTATATCAGTCGCTCTCGAACCGAGTTTCCCACAAGCGCACTGAAGATGGCCTTCCGATGCTTAAAAGAGTGCTGATTGACATCTCGACCGGCGACGACGACCAAGGGTATTATATCGACGAATTGGGTATTGCAGCTTTCCAAAATGTGATTGACGAGGGTGATACATAACAGCTACAGATGCCAGGCGGACGATGTGTTGGCGTATTCAAGAGTATATCACGAAGGGATGAAGCATGAGCCCTTGACTAATGCCTCGTAGTTCCCTTGAGTTCCCTTCCTCCAAGGTACAGTAAAGTACTAGATATCATCAATCTAACCCCTCCATCGACCTTCGACCTCAATTTCATGATTTGTCAGGGACACCTCTGTCCAAATCATTAAAAGAAAGAAATTTATCCCATTCACGTTGTATCGCCTGTCTTAACTGAGAAAGGGGACGAAAGAAAATTACTCTAGGAGGGCTTCAAACACGATAATAAGAGAATAAGTCGAGGCAAATGGTGATCTCCGGTGAATAACCTACCCGCTTTGCAGATATTCTTTGACATGGCGTCAGTTCCTCGACGAGAAGCTTAAATGAGATAATAGACCTTGAATAGGCGTAGTAGCATTCAAGTTCACCACTAGAGAGCAGATATTCTTTGAGGTAGGTATGTGCTTCGTCTACGATAGAGTATGTAGTGGCAAGACATCCAGTTCTCGAAAGGGACCAGGCCGGTGCTTTATCAATCAAACAACCAATAATGAAATATAAATCACCAGAAACTACCTGCGATACTGGTCATGGCTTATGAGTCGAAATGTTCCGCTTTGGGCGATGGAGAACCCCTGGCGAGCCTTTCGCCTTCCAAATGCGGAGATTCAATATGATAAGATCATATCCCTTGCCCTCATACCACCACATAACAGCACTTCGAATCGACATTTTCCCTTCGAATTAGCACATAACTACATCGTATTCTCGTCGGTTAAAACTACCAACTCCATTCGGACCTCCGAAAAGCAGGATTTTCTTATCGTGCGTTTTCGCGCTCTATCTTTGAGATAAATATCACTGATATCGAGTCGTAGGAACGGACCGTGAATCGATATGACAGACTTCTACTGTGCAGCGTGCGGAGAAACGAAGTCTTTCGGTATCGGATATCCTTTTTCATGGTGCTGTTCTTGGAGGAAAAAGAAGTCTCCGTGCCCGTGCGTTCAGCTAGGGACGACCGACGACCAAATCGAAGAAACGCGGGCGTTTCTGGAACATCTAGAGTCCCATCGTACGGCTTTAAAAGCACAAGTCAACGCCTCGCATGACCCGCTCGCAAGCTTCCTACCCGTGGAAATATCGCAACACATTTTTTCTCTTTGCAAGCCCGAAGGACGAGAAGACGATTTTCAGTTCGAGCTGAGGTTCCTGAATTACACGCCGTTAGCACTAGCTAGTGTGTGCAGAGGATGGCAAACCCTCGCTTGGTCGACGACCGCCTTATGGACCCTCATTTGCATCGACCTCGACTACGTCCGCGATGCCTCTCTCTACGAGGACATCCTGCATCGCTGGCTCCAACGTGCGGGTCGCCAGCCACTCGACATTTATCTCAATATTCAATACTGCGCCGATTATGATTGGGAAAAGGAACGTTTATGCAGCAGCGTCGTCAACATCATCAACCAACATATGCATCGGTGTGCGGGACTAACTCTAACGATACCCCTCCGCCTGCTTAACCTATTCAAGCACGATGCCGACGACATAGGCCATGAATTGCCCCTGCACAGACTCTCTATTAAACCTGCGTTTCGCGAGGAATCTTCCGCGGGATCTGTGTCTCATTTCGACATGAATCAGGCCATTATGCCGGCACCTGGAACGGTATCGCTCATGGATTGTCCCTTCCAGAACATCCACATCGACTGGCGAAACGTCACTCGGGTGAACATTGACAGTTTTCGCGTTTGGGAATGCCTTCGGTTGCTCGAGTCGGCCCCTCAGCTCCACGAATGCACCTTCAAAAACCTTCATGAAGTCGACAATATTAATGGCCTTCCCTATCCCAAGGAACCCATCATCCATAATCGTCTCGGGAAGATGGAAATCGACGTCATGATAACCTATTCTTCGGGAGTATCATTCTCCCATCATTGGAGCGGTTGGTGTACCGCTATTCCTCTTACGGCGAGCGTTTCGACGCTCTGACGCCTTTCCTGCTCCGTTCGGCATGCCCTATCAAGTTCCTTTCCATCCTCGAAACCGAAGATGAAGATGACGACCCTGTCGGTCTATTCGACGTCCTGTGGAGTGTCCCTACCCTCGAGGCACTCGAGTTGCATTCAATTCATCTTGAGGATGACTTCTTCCAACTCCTCGGACTTGAAGGGATCCCTCAAGCTGCCCACGTTGTCCGGGGCAATGAACAATGGGACTTCTTGCCTCGCCTCCAGTCGGTCCACTTCTCCGTTTTCTCCCAGCGGCTCACTTTCTCATGGCCCGTTTTATATCACTCCTTATCAACGCGAATTGCCTGCCGACGCACCGAGGATGACTGCCCCATCCTTCGGCAATTCAACATGGACCTATCTGTGGAGAAGAACCGGGAAGGGCATTACATCGACCAAGCTGGGGTCGATGCTTTCCAAAGGATAATTAACGAAGGTGTTGAAATCAGATTGCGCAACCTGCGCGGTTATGTATCCACCGATATTATTGCATACTCCAGACTTCACCTGGAGGAAGGGGGAGAAAGTGCAAATCTATGAGCAAATTAATTCATTTTCTACCACACCCCTCGTCCGATCCTTCCTCGTCACCTCAATTTTCCCGCGCCAGCGTATCCGCGGGGCCAAGGGCGCCAGGAGCCGCAAGGCCTTATAATGGAAATCGCATTTTTCCGACACGCATCTCGACTTTTAAGCGCGTAAGCTTATGCAACCGAGGGGCTAGTTATCCGACGAGCGATGCGGTTGCGTATTCAAAGGTTTGCCATTCGAAGAGGGCTCTATGACTCCATAGCATCCATCTAATACTGCATTTTCGTAGTTCAATCTGGAAGAATGCCAGTAGACGTGGAAACACGTGTCGCCGTATTTTGAAGGGTCAGAGGAAAAGGCTAGTGACAAGCCTTGACCAGAAAAGACGTGGGTTATCATTAATATCTACATTTTACGAGCGCGAGAGTTAAGAAGACTGAGTCTGTCATTCCTCATTTCTTTTCGAAAGGATCCTCGTGTGGAAATCACAAATGCAGCGTCACAATAGCAAGACGACGATAGACCGATCTCTGGCGTAAGAAAGGAGCACGAAGACAAGCGTCTCAGATGTCAATACGATCGACTGTGGATAGAGACCGGAGCCTGCTTCGTGTTCCGTAGCGTGTGATATGACGTCCAGGCGACAGGAGAAGAGCAACATTTGACCTGAATGTACCCAATCAGCGCGCCGTCTCGTGAGAGAACCTTGTGGGGTGCACAGAAATGAGAAAGTAAACTTGTTTACTCCTTGCCTAGACAGGTGTTTCGTGAGCGTGTACGTTCTCCAGCAAGGAGGAAAAGTACGAGCGCAAGGCTCACTCTTCATTCCGGGTGACCGGGGAAGAACTCAGAGGTTTGAACTTCGTATAGGGCTCGCCAGATGCAAGAAGCATGTACAGAATCAAGAGCTTTACTTACCTACAAATCTGGGAGGGTCACATTTGTGAGCGTAGAGAATAAATTCCACAACGTACTATAAGTGGAGTGAGGCTCGCATCTGTAAACCAACCCGGTGTCGTAGACTAAGGGCGACGAGCTTCGATGCCCAAGGGGAAAGGCATCTGAGGCATGCCGCGGTGCATTGCGGATGACCAAGACGCGAGAGACGTGACCGTGCGACATGTCTTCCTTTTTAGAAACAACCTTCTCCAAATCTCTCCCGTCGCCTTTCTCTCACCGCCATGGTTCGTCCCCCTTATCATAACTCTAGCGTCGGCTGTTCCTCCGCGGCTGTATACACCGACCCGACAACTATCGACGTATTACTGAACCTGACGTAGTTAATGGATTTCGAGAACATGACGAGGTCGATTGGCTTCGATAACGCCTCCATCATCACAGAAGAATCGGGGAATAGGAGCAAGGATTGAGGTAGGGAGGAAGGGTGGAGTGGGTGGAGTTAGTCGGTGCGCGCGATTCACACTGCCTCCTCACCGATAGACATCATCGTCGTTGCATCGCAGAGCTCTTCCCACTTCGACTGGGACCCCGGTATGTGACCATTTGTCGTCGCCATAGCCCCATCGCGGCTTTCCATCCTCTGCTTCACGTCCCTGACAAACGGTGTATTTCCTCCAATCCTGCTCCTGTTCTTTGTCAACCTCACACAGCTTCCGAGACTGATAACGAGCAGTGCCCTGTGCTTGCCATCTCTCCACCTTTCATATCGCCCTCATTCTTCCGAGAAGCGGTATTTCAGGTTGTGGAGCGCCATCCGGTAAGAGCAAAGGCCCTGCTCGTCTCGTTGCAGAGCATGTCCTCTGTTCCCTGGCACTGATCAACCCCGATGTCCGAATCTCAACAATATACTCTCGACCGATGTTGTAAATCTCTGACTAGGAAGGAAGAGGACAGGCCAGTTCCATGAGCTCACTCGTGCTAGGTACCATGCGATCTCATACGCCCTCGTCGAAGCAAAAAGTTCATATCCGAAACCTTGGTGACCCTTTCCCTCCCTTATCGCAGATTCCAATCTCGAAAGTACGCTACGACGTTCTTTGATCCGCTTGTTCAATCCTCGTCACCGCCCAATGTTAGACTATTCTACGCCCCTCTTGAGTCCGACTCTCGAATACTCCTCCCTCTATCCACATCTCGGCCGTAATGATCTCGTCGCCGAGCGGAGAAAAGAGTCGATTGCATGACATTTATCCATGCTGCCCAACACGTGTCAAGTATGCGTCGGTGGTTGCAAGTGGATATAGTGCTCTTGGAAGTCTGCTCCTTTCTCCTCGAGTGTTGACGCCGAATTCGTCTCTGAGCTACGTAGTCTTCAACATTTCACGGAGTAACTAACAAGCCAAAAGAGCGCATATATACAGGATCAAAGTTGGATCGAAGAAAACATAGCGTACGATTCGTATTTTGTCAGCTCAAACACCGATTAGGCAATCCGCGCTATTGACATGAGGCGTCGGCTACCCGTCGTGCCTCTAAATGTGGCCTGCGATTGTTCTTCTGGTGGCTCAGACTTCAGTCCGCATAAATTTGAGAGTTCCAGTGGCATTTTGAACGCGGTTTCTTCTTCTTTACCTCAACAACCACCGTCGAAGTGTTCGAAGAGAAAATGTCCACCAACAAAGGCGGTTCAACCGTTCTCACTCAAAATAATGACTTCAACAGAGCTTGCTTTCACACACCGATGATAGACGTTGTACAGAGTCCTACTCGCGATGCAAGCGCTCGGCCAAACTCAGCTGCTGATTCGGGAACTTCTATCCAAGAGTAGGTTTCTCCCTGCTTCTAACCTGGTCACATTGGATGTTAAAGAATTGAACCGTTCGTAGAATCTCTCGGTCTGACTTCTGCATACGAAAGCCGTTAGTCCCGAGCAATTACCCCAGGCTCCACCCCGTGTTCAACTGGGATCAGGCACATCCAAAATATCGGAGCACGAAATTCGACAAGGAGAAAATATCCACGAAGACACGAAATAGAACACCTGCCACAGCTCACATTACAACTGGACTACATATTCCGGCCCGATATAGTGGAAGTCTGACTGCCACCACTCAGCTTCGACGGGAAATGCATGTCGCGACTGGAACTCGGCCTCGAAACGGAGTAGGAGCGAGCACTGAAACCTCGTTTGAGGTTCAGACGGCCATGCACCCGCCCGATGAAGTGCCTACCGCGATTGTTCCCCGTACCAGGATGCCGACGTTAGCTGAGCTCATGAATCCGGCCCCACCCTCTCCTGATAAAGGTCTATCACAAAAGCAGAGTATCTCCAAGCCTACTGCAGTGCTCAATAGGCCTAACGGCGAATCTTCGGCCCCTAAAAAATCTGGTAATAGACGCAAGGACTCCATCAAGGCTACAGAGCTAATGAGGGACGGGAAGCACTTCGGCGCCGTTGAAGGATTCAAACATGGAGGGGATAGCCTTCAGACTCGGCGAGTGCCACCACCTTTATTTCTTTCTGGGATGGCCTCTCAGCTCTCAGCTCCTTCCTACAGATAGCTATGAGAGGAACCCGTCGGATCTTATACGCTCCGCCGGCTCGAAGGGAAGGTTTAAAAGAGATGGATGTAAACGATTCGTATATATGGAACCCGAGTCTGGGGATAATTGTGCACCCCATACAAGAGAGCAAGCACCAGAGAATCACGAGAATCACAATTCCGAGTGATGAAAGCACCCCCTCACCCTCGTGAGGGGACTTGTAGAATAAATTAATAGGATCTTCAAATGAGCGAAAGAGTGTTTCGTCCGAATTGCGAGGCAACCCAACAACAGAGTAATCCTTGTAAGGGTGAGTGACTTTTCATTTGTCCTTCAAGCTTCAAGTACGACGCTCACCGCGAGATATCCGTATTTTCAAAAACGGTCCCACCAAATTCAAACTGCAGGTGAGTGCAGTGCCGAAACGCGCAGCCAGAGAGGTCAGATGGTGCTACGATGATCTAGGAAGGAAGAACCTACGTCAGATCGTATCGAGGAACTCCTGAGCTCGAAGAGGGCTCGAGAAGGCCTTCATAGCCTAGAATCGAGCTCCGGCTTCTGACCAGCTTTGATCCTTCGAAGTTGGAGGCCTCTTAACATCGAGAGATTTTGGGAAAGAGACAGCCGGGAATAATGCAACGAGAAAGAGGATATAAGGCGGGGTGCCACTTTTAACCTTGTTACACCAGGAGCCTGCCTACACCCAGTGTGGGTGTAAGTAGGTTTCATCCCTTGGGAAGGGTCCAGTGGTGCCCCGCCTGATACTTCCTACTTTCTTGTCGGTTGTCGATGTCGGTGATGGCGCTAACGGGACATGTTCGTGCGGGTTTCGGAACAAAGGGTGACACCAGAACCTTCATACACGACGCAAATCCCCCGAGAATCCATTTCCACGGGTTCACGGGGCATGAAAAAGAGCGGGAATCGCCTGGGCTTGTTGCACTCCAGATCCAACCGTCAGCTGATGACGCGTACAAGGCGCGCTTCTGCTTGAGAATGGATAGATGAATCTTTCCCAGCCAATCCGCTCTTTCACTCGAATGCGAGGTGGTGGTTCTAGGATGATAGTGGAGGGATCGCGTTCCCCGGTATGCCAATGACAATTTGCCGACGACAACCTCACCTCGACGCTGGAGGAGAAAAGAATCCGAAACGAAAGGGATATATCCAGATCGCAGCCACCGGTATTTTCCACCGCGAGGTGTACAATGTGGATAGATTCCTTGCTGTTTCGCTCTTTTCTCCGTTGGCATGTTGTGGGTTTGGGCGTGGCAGAGAGAGGAGTGAACCGGTGAAGTTAGGATGGTGAAAGACGACGTTAGAGTGAAGGACGATACCTGATTAAATGCGGCGAGAATTGTATCAGTGCACATTATGACTGTTATCGAAAGCGAGAGATTAGGGAATGAGCGAGAGACGAACTCGTCTCAATGACAACGCATAAAAGCGTACGTTATCTCGGGCGGGGTGTGTACTCGGGTACGTGATGAGATCTTTTCCTTCGAAGTCGAATTTCGAGGATTAGAGAATCGAAGGGCAACAGATAAAGACAGAATCATAAGCACGTCCGCCGTCTCTCCGCAATCTGTGTCAAGAAGCGAGAAAGCGAGGTGTAACGAGGCTAGGAAAGGGATGAAATCTAGACGCACCATGGGCATAGACGAAGCGAGCACTCAGCCATGCGGGATACTATACCCACGAAAGAGATAACAAGCCTCAAAGAGACAAGGGAGATAGAAAGCGTGGGGTGCTAATCCGCACAGCGCAGCGCTCGCTTCCGTCTTCGGTGTGCCAGCGGTCATGGAGGATGATGTAGTTTGGTGGATGGAAGGATGAAAGGATGAAATCAGATGTCTTGATGGAGTCCTAAAGCATACTGAAGAGACATAGTACATGGCATGAGTTGTATTCCTGATGCTTGATTGTAAGTCTGGTAGGAAGTCCGAAGGAATGAGGGAAACCCGCTTGAAGAGAGGATCATGAAAGCTCACGCGCACGAATGACCATGCAGAATCGCTCGTTCTTTATCCAGAGGGTTGGCTGTGGAAGATCGTCGTTGAAGTGAGTATCGAGTAGAAAGAAAAACGCTGTCATAGATCGGGGACCGTGTTTGTGATTGCGATGAGATGAGCGGGAAGACTCAAGAGGTGTTGCCACTGTTTGGATTAGCCATAACGAAATGTGACCGTGCGACATTTATTCCATTTCAGCCCTGAGTCGGACGACAACCATCGCCGAAGCGTTGTGGTTCTCCTTGACCGTTCCCACCAAACCCCCACCCATCGTCGTCTCCCTACCAGAGTTGCGTGGCTTTCCCCGCCCCAGTGAGGATGTACTCGTTGTCTCATCCTATCTCCGCGCAGGACGTTTAACAAAGCAGCTTCGATCAACAATCTCCACTCAGGTGAGGCCTTCACCGCGATGCCTACATCTCGTCGCAAGAGGATCTTGTGCTAGCATTGGAAAAGAGGGTTGTATTTCTTGGGTATGCCTGGTGCGCTCGATTGACACTTTCTATCACGGCCATTCTGACTGAACATGCTCTTATACCTTGGGTCCGGCTTACATCTCACATACGATGAAGATGAAGCACTAGATTCGCTTTGGATGCCCCAGTGCCCATCATCGCGACACTTTCCCCTCTCTCCGCTTTCTTGTCAGCGTATCCTTGCTGGCTAAATAGCACCCTCGCCTCCTCTCGGCCTCTGGCACATTACAAGACCGATTACGAGCAGCAGCCAGGCGTGTCAATTTCTCCACATTGGCGATCCTCCTCCTCCTTGCGGGATGTGACGACCTTATTGTGGCTAACATAGTACCTCACGATGGCTCACTGTTCGTTCCGTCTCTATGTCGCCCGGGCCAATTCTCTCGACAATCCCTCTTTCTGCCAGGGGCCTCTACTACTGCCGGCTCGTCCCGTTACGCTCTGCACCTCTTCCTCGTATCCCGTCTCATTTTCCCGCCAATTGCGTATGGAAACGAGCCAGCGGTCGCGCGGTCGAGGCTTTCTCCAGATGTGAACTGTACCCTTGCTTTCCAATGTGGTTTAAGGGCATCCAGCCTCATAGCCACATTCCATTTAATGCCCCGTTCTCAGACAATCTGCGAACAGCCCTCGAGAATATTTGGAAATCTCCGGCTTCGGAGGGAAAGAGCTAGCCATTTCCTTGAATTCACTTGAGTACGGCGTCGTGCAATTACCATCGTCGACCCGAGGTGTTCATGTAGACGAGGTGTTTTACTCTCTTCCTCCTTTGTTGGAGTTAGCCAACCCAGCATTTACTCGAACTTACCAGAATACTTGATTAGTAATATTCTGACTCACTTAGCATAGCCTCGGACAAATAGGAAATTAGTAGATAGTACTAGAATATTGTAGATACATAATTGTACAGTATAAAAGAGCTCTGTAGGAGCCCCGCAATATTAATCCTCTCTTACCTTCTGACCACCACTGCGCCAACAGGTTATGGGCCCCGAGCCTCAGTAAAGCGTGTCTCACCACCGTTTACTGCTTCCATCTTATCTCGCTCTCGTCCTTCCCACGCTCGTTATCATTATCTTATCTAGCTACCTTATCATCGCACCGTAGCCATGGATCGCACACTACTTACCATCCCCAAACTTACTAGTCATAATTACCATGACTGGAAATTTGCCGTCAGCATGGCATTGCGCATCAGGGATTGTTGGGATGTTATAGCCAATGGATCCGAGAAGAAACCGGCCGGCGACGCACTCACGGAATGGACAAAGAAAGCAAATGATGCGCTTACCATCATCGCTCTCACGGTGGACCCGAGCCAGTACACCTACATCCGAGATTGCACCGATGGAGTAACCGCATGGCAGAGGCTCAAGGACATCTACGAGAAGAATTCTCGTGCAACCCGAATCTCCCTCAAGCGCCAATTCTACGGCTTCGAGCACGATATAAATATGCCAATGCAGGATTATGTAAATGGCATTACAGATTTAGCCGCCAAGCTCAACGCGATCGGAGTTACCCTAAATGATGAAGATATCACCGACGTCCTTATCTTCAATCTCGACAAGGAATATTCGAGCATCGCCGCATCCTTATCAGCTGGCAAAACAGATCTCAAAGTCGGAGAAGTTGTTAGCACCCTTCTCGAGGAAGAACAACGGAAAGGGGGAGCACCCGATGTAGTTACCGCCCTTTACAGCAACGGCATCAATAACAATGGCCGAGGACCGCCGGGCCGACGCGGACCGAATCGTGATCGACGCGAAGGAATCATCGAAATGCGCACATGTTACCTATGCGGATACAAGGGACACATTCTCAAGGATTGCCGCGCCACGAAAACCAAAGATGGAAAGGCTATTACCACCAAAATGACTATTGCCGCCCTCGAAAGAATCAAGCAAGAACAAGAAATCGCCAAGTCGAACTATGTATCCGAAATCGGCGAGACCCTGAATGAATTCGCGTATTGATCGACCAATCAAAATTAGTGCCCGTACATGTTTGCGAAGCACCACGGAAATGCTAGACTCATGGTTGAGGATCTCCCAGGTCTATGCATGATTGAAGAAGATTTATTGGAGGTTGAGGCTCTCCCTCCCTGATGGAATTTGGACAGCAGGTTGAGGATCTCCCTGCAGAATTGATTTTTGGGAGAAGGTTTGAGGAATTCCCTTCTTGCCAACACAGAACTTCGAAATTGGAGGTTTGAGGAACTCCCTCCAGAAGGAACAGATTTATTTGAAAGCTCAGCTGAAGGTTGAGGATCTCCCTTGCAGCTGTGAGCAATATTTTCGGACATTTCATTATCAGTTTCTATTTTTGGACTACGACCATTTTTCACCTCACTCGGAATGCTGGATTGAGGGGGAGTGTTGGAGTTAGCCAACCCAGCATTTACTCGAACTTACCAGAATACTTGATTAGTAATATTCTGACTCACTTAGCATAGCCTCGGACAAATAGGAAATTAGTAGATAGTACTAGAATATTGTAGATACATAATTGTACAGTATAAAAGAGCTCTGTAGGAGCCCCGCAATATTAATCCTCTCTTACCTTCTGACCACCACTGCGCCAACATCCTTATTGGAAGGTTCCATTCTCGAGAGTTCCCTGTGCTATTCTTGTTTAATCCTCGTTACCACCGATGTTGGGTGGCTTCACCCTACTTGCTGTCATATCTTCCGACCGTCTGCTCTTGTTTCCTCCCTCTTCCATCTTTGCATATGTCGGCTGCAAGAATTTCATCGTCGCCAAGCGGAGAGAAAAGAGTCAGATTGCCTGACATTTATCCATGTTGCACACCCTACATGTGGCGGAAATGTTAGTGCGTGCAGCTGGATATGCGTCTTGGGGTAATCAGCTTTTTTCTCCTGGAGGGTCGGCATGGGACTGCTATGGAGGGTCCTTGCCTGTCGGCGAGGACATCGAGCAGGGCATATATTCGCGTTCCTAGGAGCATGGAGCACGGCCCGTACGATATCAGCTCAACGTAGGTTATTCTCCATTGCACGATGCCGGGTCAGTGAACAATGCTTCCTGCTTCTTCCGAGACCGCGTCCTTCCCTTTACTTTCAACTTCGTTCTGCGAATTATCACCCAAGAATGTGCTTCAATAGATATCTTCAAGCTATGGGAAATGTAAACTAGGACTGTCGGCACTGAAGTCTCTGGACCGTCCCATCAGTCTTGCCCGTAGGGGAATACCTGCTCACATCCGAAATTTAAACCCTCCAACCCTTGGAAGAGGAAATTGAGGTTGGTATTAAGTGCCTGGCGAAGCTTTCCCGTTGGATTCGGGTAGAGCCCCTTGATCGTTTTGTTGACGACGTTCTCGTACAACAAGCAGAAGGTGGAAAAGTCTGCCGATGTGGGATCGAGGGTGTAGCTGTTGACTTTGCCGACGTTTCCTCCAGGCTGCACAGGATGAGCTAGGAAGACCTGGTTAATCCCTTCCGTGCTTCTCGTTCCGTTTGGGCGGAAGAAATCCTTAGGCATACGGCTGAATTGGAAAAATCCCTGTGCGGCGTCCATATCCAATTGACCATCGTTCCTGCGGCCATCGACGAAAAAGTTGATGGGGAAGACAGACTCGGCATAGGCGGTGAAATATCGAGGCGAGACAAAGGAGAAACGCGGGTTGGTAGCAATCGAGTCTTGAATACGCTTGAATCGGAGCTCTGCTGCGACCGTAAGATTATACTTCCCTCCTCCAAATCGGTTGTTAAAATCAACGAACTGAAAGCTATGTTAGTCCCTCAAAGATATACCATGTGGATGCCGCACCTGGTCGAAGAGCGTTGCATTAAAATTATGATTGTTGCCGAAGAAATCGTCGCCTAGAGTATTAACCTCCTAATTGGATTTGTAAAAAGATTTAAAGCACCTCTTGTCATGCTAGCGTCGCCTGAATGAAATTTGTCAGATGCAGCACTCCGAGCTAATATATTTGTAATTACCTTCAAAGACCGCATGAGTATTAAGTCCACCAACGATAGGTGGAGGATCGCGACCCGTGAGCGGCGTCTTGCGTCCAATGCTCAGCAGGTCGGTGATGAGGTTGCCGTCCACAAGGTGTGCCGCATACGTCAGGAAGATAGCAAGTGAATTCTCCATGTTGAATACTATCAAATACGTATCAGTGACGGAGTAAGAGTCGGATACCCCGTTTCGATTCCTACCTTCCTGAATCGTGTTGATAATTTGCACCGGTGTTGCAATTCCATTTCTTGGGAGATACTGTAAGGGCGCTTGTCAGTCGACTGATGGCTGTGGCTGAACTCCAGTACTTACACCATGAGATGCCAGTGCATTAAGACCTGGACACGGCCCACGGATGTCACCTCGTCGAAGCGGTTTCCACGGGTGAGCCTTATCATTGACCAATTTCGCCGAGGTGTCCTTCAGAGGACCAGGAGGTAGTGCTGGCTTTCGATACTCGAGCGTTGGAAGGATAGATTCCAATTCACGATTGCTGAGACCAGCCAACGAAGCATAGGAAGGAAACGCGGTGACCCTGGCCACACACGCAAAGGCAGGGAGTAGAGAAAAATACTTCATGTCGCACTGAGTTGGGTCTTGACGGCTGCGTGCTGATGAGGAGCGAGTCTTTTATATAGAAGAATGAATCTCAGATGGAGAAAGCTCTCCATACGCTCATGTCGTCTGCGCGCCGGCCAAGGGAGCGACCGAGCCCATAGCGCGTGCCTTATTCTCGTGACAGTCATCGAGGCCCGAGGGAGATGGTTAACATATGAGGCTGCTTTCCTCAACCGACATTTTGGCAGGTCAAGCTAGTTAAATTTATAAACTCTAGGCCTTAAAAAACCACAGGGATGAGAAATACGCTCTCGTTGATTGGCAAACTGGTTGCAGATGTTTGTCCGAGCGGCGAGTCTTCGAGGCGATCCGGTGGATGTAACACGACAGCAGCCAGCTGGGCACCCCTGCCAGTTTGGCACCTCGGTGACGTCAGTACCCGGTGTGTATGGGACCGAATTTACAAGCCTCACCGAAGTGAAGCCTTCCGTAATCTAATATCCAGCTACTTAGATGGATCATAGCTATGGTGGCTCCAAAAATTAAAACGTTGCTCTGGGAAAAGGCACCGTTGGCAGGGTGGGAGGATAAGAATCGCACAGCAGCCAGGGGCCGAGGCAAAGATTTATCCCAAATTTATCCTTGAGGTTCGGATAGTGAACACTCAGCGGGATCGCCCATCGTGAAAGCTCACTTTTGACAGTGAATAGAAATTCTTTCGCTATAGTTTCATGGCCGCTTCCTGAGAGAAAAGGATTCATGCATGGGCGTTTAAACACAATTACTTGGCGCTAAATCGGGGTCTACTAGGACGCATAGATGCCGAGTTTCGCTGAAAGAGGTCCATACAACATTTATCAGGGCGAATAGGCTACAGTTAGGATTCTTGGTGGGCTCCTCTGATGACTTCCGAGTGGTTCTGCCCTACTGTGACTCCAATCTCGGAAATTTCAAGCTATGTATGCTTGGATCGTAGCCGGTATGAAGCTTGACGTGTGACGTCGTACCCGAGGTTCACGAACCTGGGTGTGCACATCCGGGATGTCCACAACCCCGCCAACTTGCAGAAGATGGAGGTGGTGTACGGGAAGGGGTGAACGTTCGCTTTCCCCTGTTTCCATGGCCGAGAGGTTGGGTTGTGGGAGTACTTGGGATTGAGGGCTATTAGGCTAGGTGCTTGAATCATAGTCTGAGCGCGAGTTTGCATGCCTGTATAACAACACTAGAGTTGTTCTATTCAACCGCATTGTCCTCAAAACTCCCTCACGCCGTCACCAGTTCACCGCTTGGGAGCTCAGAGTCGTTGGAAAATTGGTCGCGTGTGTGACTCGTGCATGGCGCGGCTCACTCGTTATCTAATCTGAAACGGCAAATACCGGGAAATAGTCATCCGCTCTCACGGCCTCCCGCCGAACCAAATTACCCTTCGTCAGAACACGGAGAAAGATATGTATATGCAACTACTGAGATCTACCAGACACGCGTGGGGTGATGTAAATGTAGTTCGAACATCTCTCTTTACCTCCCATCTCTGGAATCGCGATCGGGACTCGTCCGTCCGGGCGGACGGTGGTTAGGCGCTTAAAGAGCTGGCATGCAGTGTCGAGCTATTTCTGAAGTAGATTCTATTCCGAGAGATCATTTCTGTTTATGATCGTACGCTGGGTCCTATCTCGAAGAAGTAAAACTTGCTTCGACGTGAAACTCACAAAGTAATGTCATTGCGGACTTGGGGATGGTGATGGATTTTTCTTCCCGAAACTCGTCGTGAATCAACTTGTGGCGTTGTACTTATGTCTCCACGCGATAAGGTGGTAATAAATATGATGAGGACGGCGAATGGCGATAAATATAGACAGTCAAATGGCTACGGATACAGTGATCGAGACGAAAAGAATGCACTATGCACTAATTGATACAGGATGAGTGGAAATAAATACGGTGCACAGCGAAGATCGAAGAGAATAAATGAAATGCGAAATGAAACTCTATGCGAAAATGCAGCCTTAAATACTAATCGATGTTGCGGGCGCTAAAGAGAAGCACGGCCGAAATGACACACGGCTCGAAGAGCCCGACGCCAAATGCTTCGCTCGTTATCTCGAGGACAATTTTCGTGTTATCGCGGGAGAGCGTAAGTCTGGCGAATTGCGCAGGCGGATTCGGACCAGCGCTGTACAACTACCGAGGACGTCTCAGCCTCGGCGCTCATCTGAGAAAATAGTGCAGACTCACATAGATTCCAGTCTCACGAGGTATCCAGGCGAATGTACGGCCACGGATGGTCATCGTCCTGTAACTGGAGGTAGACGACAATCAGTTTCAATATCGTCTCGCGGAATAGCTGCACGGAACGAACCTTTGATCGGAGGTGAGCTTCAGGAAGTCGCCCGTTCTTTGCCGTGCAAGAACTCCTCGCGCCTCGACAGTTGGGTGCTGACTCCATTCTATCCTCGCGTAGTCCTCTGAAGCTTTGCGGATGTGAGTTCGCCCCGACGCGGTCGTGATGTCGAAGAATTTCGTGCGGTTCGGTCCGGTGACTGTGCAGTTGAAGATGTCGGGGTTGAGAGGGGCGAACTCGAAGGTGAGGACGGAGGCGGGTCGGTCTTCGGGAGGAGGAAGAGCGCCGAAAGTAGGAGGGTGCGACGGGTTGGGACGCCACGGCGCGTTGTTGATTGAGTGCGGGTTCTGGGGGTTATGCCATCCAGCCTGAGCATAGGGGTTGTTGACGAACATTTCGACAGAAACTGTTGAGACGAGAACGCGAGAAGGGGAGTCGTTGGGGATTGTCTCTATAGCAGGAGATGCAAGACGAGTGTCGACAGTTGAGAGAATCTCGAAGGAGGGCTTAATGATTCAATGTCATTAAAGCTCTTGAGTTATATACCATCCAACGTAAACGCAGATCTCAGCTGGGGTCCGGCGGATATAGAGATGAAGCACATAATCGACCCTCGATGATATGGACAGGGAAAGAGCGCCGAAACACCTATTTCCCGCAGGATCGACACGCTGCGAAAGACTTATCGCGGGTCAGAGAGTATCTGACAATCTTCGACGACTCATGTCCTGACGAGTACGCCAACTGAGCTGGGGCGGCTGGAGATGTGCAAAAAGCTCCGTTCCGCGCTCGCGTGGTTTTTACCTGGCAAGCGCTTGGAACGGAACGCGAGGGAAATATAGTTAATTCCTCGGTGTGACGTCTCCGTGTGGGTGGTGGGAGCGGCGGGACTCCCAAAATGGCGACCCTGATCGATCGACCTTTAGGCTCAATTCACTAGAGCGGGTAGTCAATTGGGCGCTTCCCAAGACGTTTCCGGAAGTGAGGTGGCCTGCGCAGCGCCAATGAGCCAAAGACTGAAAAAGTGAGAAGGAAACCCTCGGCAAGCGTCGCAACCCTCGAGTCTGGGCGGTGCGCGCACAGCATTGATCGCGTATGTTTCAAGCAACTGGACAGGGTTTCGACAGAGCTCGAGGGAATGGCGCCACTGCTTCACCTTCTGAGAACGCAAGTGCAGGAAACACGCACACTCAGTTAGACTACTGTGGCATTGAGCGATCGGGTCGAGGAGAAGGGATCACGAAGGTCTGAGAATGCGAATTGAGCGGGAAAAGACTGCGATCGGGACGCACTCACGTGGGGGTACGAAAGTAGGAATGAACATGCAAAGGCGTTCATCAAAAGAAAGCGCTCAGGAAGGGTACAGAAATGTTTAGTTCGCGAACTGTATGAATGACCAGGAGGAGAATATGGCTCGAACTTGGCTCGAACTTGGCAGTGATCAGACGCGATCTGATATGATGATGCGACCCCGGGCCGCTTTGGGGACGAGCAACCTTCAGGCGTCAGTAAGTATGCGCGCAGAAATATATCACGGGCGCCTCCGCAGATATGATCCGATAAGACGTGCGGGATAACGAAAATATAGGATATCATGCCGGCATGGATATCCTGAAGCACAATGGCAGAAAGCGAGCTCCGAGTAAAGAGTGTTGCTTATTGAGCAAGAAAGTGTTCTGGAATCTAAGTCTCGTACCGTCATGCCCTGCACCAATGGATACGGAATGGCAACTAAGGTAGAGGATATACCTCGAGAAAAAGGATCACGATTGCATAGAAGACAGAACATCGATGCACAATGAGAGTGGGAATGGAAGAACGGCAATAGGAAGGGATCCAGAATACCAAGTCCGGGGAAGAGAGCCCGTGTCTGCGCCGACACGCTCCAAAATAAAGAGTAGACCACTTTGAAGAGGCGTCTGCCTTCCAACGGCAACCTCAACTGAGGGAAACATATAGAGCCCAGCGGCTCGTATGTGAGATAACTGCGGCTTCCGCTGACGGAGAAGGAGAAAAGAGGGTCTTCGGTCAGAAGCAACTATCCAGCTACAGCGATCGACGTTAAGCCAACACGCGCGGCGGTAGGTATGGATAGAGTTAACGGGGTCGAGCCATTTTCTTACCCCTGCATCAACGGGGCGGCCATGTTTTGGGAGAGACAGCGATAAAAAAGGAGTGAAGAAAGAGGCAATCAGACGATATGTGCGGGAGTGCCTTCTGGAAACCGGCCAGCTATTTCTTCCGGCGCCGAGAAGGGCGTGTCGTGCGACGGATGAAGGAGGAGATAAATAGAATCATTGACGAAGACGGAATGGATGATAGAAAACGCACTGGAGAAGTGCAACGAAAACCGAAGCTGCTGCCCGCTTCCGGCCCCTCATGGGAGCCCCAAACCACCGTACCTGCTTGCTCGCCTAGGTCCACCGTAAGCGCTGTGCGATTCGACGAGAGATTTCAGCCACAACGGGACGAAACGCGGTGATCCCACCGAAATGTAACCTGAAACTGCGCAAGAGATAATCTCCTCTCGGAATAACAAGAGCGGTCGATAACGTGGTAACGATAGACGGACAGGGCGCCAGAGCGTGGGGAGGTCAGGAGGGATAGAAGAGTGCGGACGAAGTCACTGTCGACGAACATCCAGGTTCGATACGGAGATACGAGTGGCGCTCTAGCCGGGACGGGGCGAAGATGGTGACGAGATGGGCGTCAGTACTAGTAGTAGGAAAAGAAAAAGATGTATAAGACTCACCATCATCCGCCTTGATCACCATTACACCTCGTTCCACCACTGGATCATCTTGTAGAGGAGGGACAAAGGGAGGATCCCAATCGAGATCTAGAACGTCGATGCACGAGTGGTTGACGGAATAGAGTAGGCGAGCAAATTAGGAGCTGGTAATATTGAGGAAAGAGGGGGTAGAAGGCGCTGAGGGATACTAGTACTACTAGGTCGAGAGGAGGACTCGGAAATGTCGTGAGGGTTAGCTAGGCCTGCGGCTTATCTTTAATCTTATCTCATGTTAGGGCCGGCACGACCGTGACACCGAATCCCACGCGCTATTTCCTCTTGCTCTCTACCACGATGACGACGATGGCCTATTCCTCAAGGCCTCAATATTTCAATGCTCGGCTACTCTCAGCCCCTCGTCGTTTCTGAACGTGAATCGTGCACTCCAATTTTTCTTGCCAACATCAGCGCTTCCGTTGGAGATCACCGAAGGACCAACCTTGTCCTCCTCTATCAATCCGCTATCGCTACATTCAACCATACTCCAATCTTTCCACTATTCCACTCTTCGTGATCGTCTTTTTGTTTTCCATACCTCGGTTTCTCGTCACCACAATGCACATCGGCTCCGTGGACCGCGTTAGAATCGGAACACGGGTTGCCTCACTGTCTCGAATGGAGTACCTGCTCGCAGGCTTCAGGTAGGTTATCTACCCTTTTCTTTCTCTCGGTGGGCGCTTCAATTCCTTTGAGCTTTGGCGTATCATTTAATGACGAGGAATGCTAGATGGAGCGCAGTCGAGGGCTTCGCATAGATTCCTCGACTACATTGCTCTAGAATGAACATATGCACTCTAGGCGTATCGTGCAAAGCACGATCTATCTCAAACGAGGTCCGTGATATTCGCCACTTTTCTTGATCACTTCTCCGTCATCCTGTTTGTACGATTTGACGACCCCAGACAACGAGAAGATCCTATCCACCCTTTAGCAGCATCTTATGGGCTTCAATCTCAAATTCACTAGAAGCTCGACGTCCCTTCTCTTCCGCCACCTTGTCCCCTGCCCCGCTCACGTGCTGACGAAACCACGACCTTCACAGCGGTCATTCCTTCCCGATGTAGAAGTGCAGATACTTTCTTCTGGATTTCGGACCAACGTCCCTGGCTTGACGACGATAACCATCTCGCAAACCTTGGATCGGGTCATCGACTCTCTCTCCTCTTGAACACTAGCCACGACAGCGAAGCAAGGTGTGCCATTGCTCTCCTTACTGAACCGCTGAAGAATAATCCATCTCCCCGTTTTCTACTCGACATTTCATCTAGACACTCACCTCGCGAGATGGCTCGTTTCTCGTGCAGGGCCTGCGGCGAGCAGCAAGATTTTCCCCCCGAATATCCAGTAATCGCTTGCGCATCATGGAAGAAGGAACCCCTCCTTGTCCTTGCTGCCTCAAAGTCAAGCCATTGGACGAGCGGATCGCGGAAACCCGAGCATTCTTGCAGCATCTCGAAGCGCACCGCGCCGCATTGATGTCCGGGGCCAATACTTTTCAGGACCTTTTGACGGCCCTCTTCCCAGCAGAAATCTCGTCGCGAATTCTTTCGTCCTGCGTGGATGAGGAGGAGGTAGAAATGAGTGTACCGCTCGCTCTGTCCGCTGTATCCAAAAGATGGCGAGCCATCGCACACACGACGCCCTCGCTGTGGACCTCCATTCGCGTTCGATCTGGGTTCTATGGGCGTCAGGATATGTACGAGGAGATGCTCCGCGATTGGCTTCCTCGGTCCGCTCCGCAGTTACTCTCGATCTCCCTCCGCATCGAAGACACCGACGACGATGACGCGCTCAAGTCCCAATATCGCCCAATCCTCGATGTCCTCAATCAGCACTGCAATCGCTGGGGTAAACTCTCTATTGAGATGCCTCTCCGTATACTCGGCCTCTTTAAGACCAAATTTCATGACGGCCCCCCTCTACACAGCCTTTCCATCAGTCCACCCGACGAATACGACGACAACGACGACGTCAATCAGTTCGGGAAGTTCGACCTCGGAGCCACCCTTCCCGCACCGGAAATCGTCTTGATCTCATGTAAAGTGAGTAGGATCCACATAAATTGGGCGAACGTCACCAGCGTGTCCGTTTCCGGGCCTCAAGTTCATGAATGCGTCGCGCTCTTCGCAGCAGCTCCTCAACTACGCGAATGCAAGCTCACACGCGTGCGAGATGGAGCCAATACCACCAATGTGGATCCAATCGTCCACCAGCAGCTGCGAAATTTGACTGTACAAATGTCGGCTGATTCGATATCGCCCTTCTTCGACAACCTTGCCTTCCCGTCCTTGGAATTTCTCAAGTATCACGCTTTCAACCAACCACTAACTTCTCTGTCATCCTTCCTCGCCTGTTCTTCCTGCCCTCTCAAATCCCTCTCGATCGGCGAAAACGAGACCGCCGACCACCGCGATGAACTCTTCGAGATTCTGTGGACTCTACCGAGCTTAGAGGAGCTTGAACGGATCGGTGCGTCCAGTTTTGAAGATTTCTTCGAGCTCTTAGCATCCGGCGAAGAATATTCGCACGAGAGAAGGTTCCTACCGTCGTTGACGAAGCTTTTCCTCGACAACACGGCTGGCTTACAGGGCTTCTCGTGGAGAGACGCGTCCATGGCGGTCAACGCAAGGACATCTCCCTATCGTTCTGAACATGGCCACGCATTCCTCAAGGAGTTCCGTTGGGACATGTACGTACCAGAGGGAGAAGATGGGTACTACATTGATGAAGGAAGCCTTCAAGTCTTTGAGCGGCTGATCGCTGGTGGCGTTGCTATCAATCTCTCCAATGGCTGGCAAACGGACGGCAAGCCAGAAGACATGATAGTATATTCCAGAGCGTTCTACGAGGCGGCGAACAGCGAACCTGCAAGCAACGCCTGACATCGAGGTGGGGTTTTCGCAGGAAGCTTTTAATTCCAGTTTACTGACATTCATGTTCAGTATTACACTCTGTCAGAGCGTTCGTTCATTAGGGTATTTGTTCATTTAATGTAATTTTTTAGCAACGTGCCTTTTGATAAACGCTTATCGCTCGTCGAAGGTATTGATCTCGCGGCCCCGTTCTGTAACACAAGTGGGCATAGGACTTGTTCGGATTAGTACGAAGAAAGTGTAGGTTGGCTCGGGAAATCTTAACTGCTATTGAATTTGATTTTTTCAGTGAGAGATTTGCAAACGAAGCTGTGAAGGAAGTCAGAGTCGAATCTCGAAAGTCCCAGAAGAAAGGCCGCAAAAGGCGCACCACGATGTACGGGTGTCCTCGATGCCGCACTGGCACAAGACCCTTCGGACCGATACGAAGACCGGCTGCAGGAAATGGACGAGATCGCCTCTTCGCGAGTGAAACGCACATAACATTAGCGTAATACCCCAACCTCCAGGGTGGTGGGCCGAAGAGCAGAGAGGATCGGAAGACGGAAGGGTAATTATGCTACACCCAGAGGCATAGAATATACCTCATGGTGCATAAGACCAACGTCAAACTGAAGTGCTGGAACACATGCTTGCCATAGCACAAGTTGAACTATCGCTCTCTAGATACCGTTGGTAGGGATCGTGGATGAGCCGAACACAATAGCTATAATTATTCGTACTCTGGATGTACCCTCTAGTTGGCCGGTTGAACCGCAGACGGGCCCGCAGCTATAGTGTCGAACATTGGAGGAGAAAAGAACTCTTTTGAACATTGAACACTCTTTATAGCCGTCTACAACCACGAACGTTAAGCTGGCGCACGTGGGATTCGGTACAGATAGAAGTGTGCTAGTCAAGCTCTTTTCTCCTCCGCTCGGTGAGACTCATGCGCGGAAGACGGGGATGGATATTGAAGCGGGGTGAATGGTGGCGCACGAGAATCAGCCTGTTGCTTGCGTTAACGTGCGTGGGGTAAGGAGGGTCTAAGGAGAAATGCATGGCGTGCCGAGATGGGAGTAGGCGAATAAGAAGGAAAATACCAGGGGGGTCCTCAACTCCTCATGTCGATGGCGAGGGCTCATGAGAGCGCCTCGACTCGTGAGTGGAGGGTTTAAGGCCCTGCAGGATCTTCTTCCTTCGGATTCTAGCCTTCACCAAGAAGGGCGGCGAGGGGATGAAGAGACGGAAGCGAAGAGACGGACATGTCTAAGAGAATATGGAAGTAATGAGTGACGGCGAGGACAGGAGGACGAGAAGAGAGCCAGGAGTACGTGGGCGTCGCGACCAGATGCCGGATCTGACCGCCTGCTCATTTCCAGTGATCGTACATGCTATGTCGATGAGGGGAAGATAGGTTAGGGAAAGAAAGGGAAAAGACAGAGCGAGACGGGAGAAAGGAGAAGACGCGGGTCAGTCATCCTGTGAATGAAACGAACAGCAAGTCCAACTTCATCCTCGACCACAAAAGATGGACGATGCCTCGGGAATGAGGGTGATCATCATTGTGGGTGATGTCGTGTAGGAGAAGCGGCTCGTTATCGATATTATGGGGAGCCTGGCGTCAGTAGACTTGTATAGTGTGGTGTAGCCCGGGGCGTCGTGCCCTATGGAAAGATCGATGAGACCGGTGCAATTGGTGATCTAGCTGGGACAGGATGAAGACGAGATGGAATTAGTGCATAGGAAGAATCGGACGAATGAACCGTACTCACCAGCTCCCAAGCTGACATAAATCGACCTCGTTACACCCATTCCACCATTCGATCATCTCACAGAGCCGGCTGCAAGAGGACGGGTAACGAGACGAATCGAGATGTAGATTCTCGACTCTCGAGAGCGTTTGACAGGGCAGATTGGGTAATAAATTTGGCAATGGATACCCCAATAGAATATGGGGTGAACTTTGGGACGGGGTGCTGGTGTGGTAAAGGAAGCGAGAGGAGGACGATGGCATGAGGGAAGAACCGCAAACGACCACAGAGCCCGAAAGGACAATAAATTCACACGGTCACTGCCAGCTCGGCTTCTTCCGAATCTTCGGACGACCCTTCTCTTCGTCATCCACCACTCCCACTCGAGTTCGTAAGTACCTTCATCGGATGACTCTTCTACTTATACCTCGCTTGCACTCATAGTCCTTGCCCCGCCTGAGCCGCCAAATGATTGTTCTGCGCTGGCATGGACCAGGGATCTTCGAGTGGAGATCGTCCGTGTTCTGGTGCGCCTATCAGACTACAAACATTCGACACGATATTTCCCCACTCCTGTTCTTTCCAGGCACAACATACGTTATATCCGCCCTCCAGATCCACCCTCGTAAACTCTCACTCTTCTGCAATACGGTAACCCCTTCTGCCATCTGGCTCGTCTTCATGAATCCACCAGTCCATCGCCTCGCATTCCCGCCAGTCTCTCCTCCGTCAACTACAGCCGCTCCTTTATCTATGGTCACCCTTCCTCCTGACGTTCAACGACTGGATTCGACACGCCCCTCTCGACTACGTGTCATCCTGACAAACAAACGATCACCCTCGTCCTTTGGGAGGCGTTCGATCGTTCATGGTGCAGATTATTTTTGATCTCTGGCGGTCTGTTTTCTGCGCATTGACTAGCCTGCTTGTTGTTTGATGAAGTGCTGGATTCTTGTATGCCCGTTTCGTCCGTACGCTGCCTGCGCGTTTTTGTATACTGCTGCTCGAAATATTTCGCAGAGCTTAAATCCCTCTCTTCTTGTCGAACTCTCCGATCATCGTGCGCCTCCTGATGAGATACACTCTACGTGAGTGACAGCTCAATCGGGCTACTGGTGGTCGAAACTCTACGGAAGATTCAGTTATCACGCCCCTGTGAGGCACGGGTTACTTCGACGTGATCAGGATCCGAGAGGATGCTGGCCTGTAGTATTCCTCATTAGTACACCCAAGACCCTTCTCTAGGCCTTAAATGATAAATCCCGTCACCTGCCAGGACAGCTGCTACTGCAGCCCGAATTGCCTTCTGGCGGGCTAAACAGGGCATTAGAGAAGGCCTCGTGTATTACTATTAAATTGCTTGGACGTACAACGGGGAAAGAATACACTAGCAGACAACAAAAGTACCTTCTCCCTTGTTCCGCATTGTTGCTCCTCAGCCTGAACCTATCATTTTAACTCGCTCGGAACGTCACCAGCCCACAACAGGTGGGTTCGGAGAGTGTATTGGAGCCGCCAATTAGATTCCCCCGCAGTCGTATAGTCGACGTAGACAGCGCATATGACTCCCGGAGATCAGTTTAACTCGTACTATAAAGATGGGAATGCTTCTCGTTGTACGTCATCGAGGCGTTTTTGGCACGTTCCGATGTACAGAACTAACAGTGTGCCCAAGAAGCTGAATTTAGAGTGAGTGTTAGTGAAATAAGGTTGAATTTGGTCGGTCGGAGAGGATGAATACCGACGTCAAACAAAGTCAGGTGCTTGTCATCAGTCAGCGGTCTTGTTCAGGATCTATTTTGAGGATTTTTGGATTAATTCTGGAGTATAAAAGGCTGGTAGATATCTCCCATCCCTAGCAGCAAATTTGAGTTCCCTCCTCTTCTTCTACTACCTAGATAATTCTCGAACTCCACAAACCTCAAAGTACCATGGAACATAAACCAATCTTCCACTTACCAGCTCTTCTTTCCACCTGGTAAACACCCTCCGGAATTATCTATCTGGGTCCCCATCTAACAGCTTCACAGGCATAGCAAAGCAGCAGCCGCGCCATGTGGCTACCTCGTCATGTCGCTTCCGGACCTCAAGTTATCCACTGCTGTCACCGTATCTGCATGGGCACGGATGGGCCGAACGCCTAACGAGAAAAGCACCATCCTCGCCCTCGATAGTGCTGGTACTGATAACTCCCCACTATCCCTCAGCGTCTCCAATGCAATCAGGGCACTCAACATCGACGTCCCCGGAGACTTTGGTGGGGCGTTGTTCGGGAAAATGCCCGCATTCACAGGCTATGATCCCAAATTCGCACATGTTGCGCTCGTGTGGTATCCTGCGAACAATGAGTCAAGGCTCTATCTCAATGGCACCCTCAAGGCGATTGGCATGATCACCGACGAAGCGGCCAGCATTGCCAACAAACTCACAGACATCAGCCTGATAATCGGGTATTCCAAGTACCAAAAGAGCCGTGCCAACAGCTGGGATGGAAATGTTTGCCTTAATTCTCACTTTGTAGGTTTGGAGGCTAACAGTACTTGTTCTGTTTAGATTGGAGATGTCAGAGTTTATGACAAGGCCCTCGGGAACGTATGTGGAGTCTCATTCGCTTCTCCGAATATTTCTCATCGCATAACAGGTTGAAGTCAAAGCGCTATACGAGGTCGGCCCTCCTCCATTTGCGGCTCCTACAGCGTACGCGTAATGGACGAGGTTGAAAGGACCTAGCAATTAGAGTTTAGTTGTTGTACACCATTGTGCCCCACTACGCTATGGGCTGTTCTCAGTCTCGCGTTGGCACAATCACCATCGATAAACAAGTCACTTTTGAACGAAATGGGAGTCGACGACAGGGAAGGGAAGATGTATCTGCTCGCAATATGAGCCAACCTCAATAAAGGGGAGACAAGAGACGCAAGGGAGAGATGGAAGTGTGAGCATCAAGAATCAAAGAACGCGTCTCAAGCAAGAAGAGCAGGGCTCCCTGACGTCGAAATATGTCCAAAGGATATCGAGCTCGAATCATGCATGTCTTCATATGGTTGGAAACGCAAATATCCTTAACCCAACACGTGGGGTCCTGCGCTTTGTCTCGGTAAAATTGCGCTGAGGCGTGTGGGGTGCAAATTAAATCACGAAAACAAAGGGATGGGGTATGCACGAACAAGGAGATGGGATACAGGACGAGGCGCAAGAAGATGCCTGCCCCCGGCGTTAGCGCACGTTCATCGAAGAGACGCAGCGGAAGCACGAAGATATGGCTTTTCCAGATGGGGCGAACAGGAGAAGACACCGGTGACCGGCTTCGAAAAGCCTGTGACAGAGTTTCAGGCCATACCAGACCTTCCTCACTCGAATTTGAGCATTAACCAGCATGGAAAGAGATGGGGTAAAGAGATGAGGCCATGAGGCTGGCCAATAATAGGAGAAAACAAGTGGGATATGTGACGACGGGCCGGGAAGAATGGAAGCGAGCAGAAGAAAGTACACACAAATCGCGGTCAGAACCTCTCCTCCTCGTTCATACGGAAGGGGATTTCAATTTGGCCCCGAAAGACGTGTCAATTATTCGCCCGCTTGCTTGTTTCCATCCACCGTACGCGCAGTTTGGAGGGTACAGGAAAATGGGACGAGAATGACGGTAGGCGTAACATGGCCACACGGAGACAAAACGAGCAGCCTGTTTGTCCAACAAACGCAACACCCGCGGAAGAGGCAGAAGTCTTCGAAGAGACGAGGGCGATCGTGAACGTGGGTGAAGATGGAGATACGGGCTGCTCGTTATCGATCTTGTAGCGCGCCAGAGACAAGTGGTGGGTGGCCAGTGGGCTGGTTGGGAGAACGCTGCAGACTATGGTGGCAGTGGTGGAGGAGAATCCGTCGAGCTAGGGCTACGTTCGACCCCGAGGTTGCAGCCATCGATCGGTATGGAAAAAAAAACGAGTACTAGCTGGGGTGGAGGCGATGACGAGCCATTCAGTCAAAATGAAATGGATGAAAGGGATTTACTATACCCACCAGCTGCCTCCTTCCACAGATCATCCCCTTTTCCTGCTTCCACCACTCGGATGTCTTGCAGATGACGCAGCGAAAGCAGAAGGAAAGAGTCGTGCACACAGGCTGAGAAAGACAATGATATCGCACGGTCACGCCCCCTTTAAGTCGGCCCTCACCTTGCTCTCTTTCGTCCACCACTCCTTCCGATAGCCCGTCGACACCCTCCAAACCGTACAATACTTCACACCTTCCATGATCAATAAAATGATCCCTAACTCACAGTTATCGATTTCCCCGTGTGCCCAGGATTTGAAAGGTGGAACAACATCGCATGCTCGGCAGTCTTTGCCGCAATGGATCTTCGAGTAAAGCATAGGCATAGGCTTTCGTGCTTTCGTATGGTGCGTCTCCATTCTCTCTTATGCTAGCCCGAGATCGGTAATTCTCTTTGGTCGTCCTGCCCTCTCACAGATCACAATGATCATGCTGCCTTATCGCGATCTCTTATCCTCAACATCATCATCATGAGAGGTCCCTCTGCCGAAAATAACGAGATCCTTCTCTGGTTCATGCACATATTTGTAGGCAGGTTGTAAAGAATAAGTATATTCTGTGGATGTACGTAGGGCTGGCGAGATATGGGGGGGGGGCGCTCGAGGCGTAGCCCAAGAGTCGATGAATTCCTACGTTTCGTGTGTGGAAAACTCGACGTTTGCGCTGAAGAATATCCTCGAGTATATGGCCATTCCTGAAATTACACGACTGCGGAGCATTTCAATGCACGAATACTCGTCTTTTGTTCCACTTTGCATGATATCTCGAGTCTCTGGAGAGAGCATGACCCGAGAGGGTAAACACCTTTATTGACAATATCCAGCCGGAACCGCTGACGTCCACGAGAGCGATCTTCGGTATGGATAGACTATCCCTTTCTCGACGCATGCTCTGCACTCTCTGTGAAATCAGCATGAGTGTAGGGAGGGTGGAAAGACGAGAAAGAGAACAATGGAAATTATGGACCAGAAGTGCAGGACACGACAGTCTCGAGAGCGTACGTTTGCCTTCGCCTCGGTGGCCACAGAGCAAAAAAGAGCACAAAGGATTGGTGAACAAGAATTCATATCCGGTCGCTCCCGACAATGGGTATGAGATACCCACCAGCTGGAGGATGGATAGATGCAAATTCCTAAGCCAATATGCTCTTGCTGCCTGGATGTGTGACTCTGGGGTTATGACGAAGAGATGGAGATGTGTTCTCTAGCGAACAAAAATAAGAGAAGCTGACAACGGTGTGTCTGGAAGGAAGGGGGGAGGGAACTGAGCGGCGAGAAGCAGAAACCTTCGCAGAATGACGAACACCACCATCACGAAAGCAATCCAACCTCTTGATAGGAAAGACGAGGGCAATCGAAAATGTGGAGGTCTGCAGGCAGTGCCGCTCGCTCCGTCGATCACAACTGCCTTCCCTGGCTCGTAGGAGACGAGCAAGATGAGAAGAGGGAAGAGGGCTCGAAGCAGCCAAGAGATGACGAGGGTGGATTAGAGGAAACTATGATGACAGGTTGTTCAGTGGAAGTGGAGGACAACAAAAGGGAAACCACGCACCACACAGCTCGCCGTTGCTACAGGTGTCGCGTTCTCAAGAAATCTGGTATAGGGAGACGCCGATGTCCGAGTTGAGGTTATACCCTAGGCACGGTGTGACAGAACAAGCAGCGACCTCTGTGCATTTTCAATCAATGATACCCACAGAAAAGAAATCACGGTCGAAAGGAACAAGGGTGATCATGAATGCGGGTGATAACGCAGAGATGTCGCTGCTCGTTATTGCTCTTGCGTTGAGCCAGAGAATTCCGTGCACGGTGGGGGTTGTGTCACTGAGGGAGGTACATAAAAAACTGGGGAGTATGGGAAGAGAGTCGTGATAGAGAGGGAGGATGGAGAAGTGTGGGCGATGTTGCTGGAGACGAACATTCGCGATCGATACGTTAGATGGTAAGTCAACCTGGGCGAGATCGATTATTAGAATGACATTCAGTTAGAAAGGAAGGGAGGGGATACACAGATCGCACTCACCAACCGCTGCCTCTGCGTAGATCGCCCTCGTCGGCTCCTAATCCACCCATTCGACATCTGTCTGTCCGTCCTGCAAAGGTCGAATTCATAGCTAGCACGACGTGACTCAAATCGAGATTGCTTCACGAGGTAATATCAGGAGCATGTCGGGAACGGTGGCTGCTGGTGTGGCGAGCGGACGATGATCGATGAAGGCGGGGGAGGAAAGAGATATGTTGGAGCACCGAAGTCCGAAATGACAAAAGGATCTCACGGTCACGTCACCGCGTTCTCGGCTTTCTCCCGGCTCCGACTCCAAGTCGAATGCTTCCCAGAGGAGCGTCAGCTCATCAAGTATCTCTCTCCTTCCATCCACCTCTATCTAACAACTCTTATTTCTTCCTCGGTTCACCCTGATTATCTTCGCTCCGCAAGATACGCCGAAGGACCGTTCTGCACTGGTGCTAGAGTCGGGATGGCGATGGTGGATCTGTCGGTGCTCTGGTGTGTCTTCCTTCCTCTACCGTATCACAACGCACAACCAACTATCGATGATCGATGTTGATGACCTCTTACAATCTCCTCCAACGCGTCGATTGGCAGTGATCGTCCTCGCTCCGCAAGCTTTGACAGCGGGAAGACCGTTCTACACTGGGCTGGGTATCTTAAGGTGCTCAAGGATCTAGACACATCACGCCTGGGATTCGAATTATAGATGACCCACTTGTATTCCGCCCATCCAGGTGGGTCGCCGAGAGAAGCTTCCAGACGCCTAGCCACGCGCAGCTCCCTCTTCCTTGCAGATCCGACGTGCGGACGATTGGCGTCGTCTTTTCGATGCGTTCAATTGTTCCACGGTCGGTTATGACGGATGGAGCGTTGCTGCGCGTTTTCGTCATCGTCTTTCGCCAATCGCTGGTGGTGATATTGTTTCCTCTAAACTGGGCTTCTCTGCACCGTCAGACTTTCCTCGCTTATCCTTCTACACGTATAGTCCAACCCTCACCCCGAATGCGTCGTATGGACCTCTGCACGATTTTAGAGCCAGAATACGATTCTTCGCTGGGATTCTTGATAGTAATGGATTCAGATTTTCGGGTAGAGCGTTGCCTTCGTCTTGGTGCGCCATCCTTCCTACCTATCCTGCGCCGTGATTCTGAACTCTCTTAAATGTCTCGTCTTCTCACAAGTCACGGTTATTTCTCTGCTCGCAATCCACTCCACCGTCCACCCATCGATGAATCGCCTCCTTCGGCCTTATCTCGACCGGCGTCGCCATCCTCATACACCCGCTCCTTTCATCTTCCTCCTTTCTCCTCATCGTAATCCCCCGGTACCCCCGACGATCCCTTCCCTATCCGACGCACAGTGCCTGTACTTTTCTGTCCTGACGCTCTAACGGCCTCCCTCGCCCTTTGCGAGGCGTTCGTCGTTCGCGGTGTCTGAACGTCAAGGAGCACTGAGGCTCTGTGCGTCTCGGATCCTACTCGTTGTAGTTGGGTATCTTGTCCTCTTGTTTAGAACACAGACGGCGATGTCCCTTTACCGTCGATCTTCTTCCCTCATTATGTCACCCCCAGTCCCATCCAGTCCCCGTCCTGATCCTTTCGCATCCGTCCTTTTGCAGCGTCATGAACGCAGTGCTCGTGCGGA